TGATCAGTAGAAATACACACATAATATGAGACCAATCTCTTACATATTCATGGCACTAGCAGAAGATACCCTAAAGTGCATCAGGTAAAGTTTTCAAATAATTTGGCTCATCTATTGCTGAGAAATCGCGTGTCAAATTGCTTCTCAATTTCTGGTACAATCACTATGAAATTCTCATTTTTTTGCTCTGGTATGGGATATTATGACATGGTATCTTGAATTTCCTAGTATTCACATAACATGTACTTTGTCTTTTTCATATTTTTGTACCTTGCTAATGATACTCTTGGGCTACTTTGTACAAATTTTCAGTGAATTTGGTTCATCAGTTACCGAGATAGTACTTGTCAAAAAGTGGCTCATTTTTTGGGACACCAGATATGTTGACTTTCTGCCCTGGGCATCATTCAAGATTGGGCTTCACTGCTATATAGCAGCTATGGAATAAAGTGAAATACCTTTGGACCAAGGATGGGCCTAATCATTATTGTATTAACATGCATTTCCTTGGTACTAGGAATTTGTTTCAAGTATTGAATAGATCATGTGATAATTGGGAAGGAATCTGGATTCCAACCCTGATATGAATAAAGCCTCAGCCAATATATCATTCTTCTGTCAATATCATATTGTCTGTTCAAATTGAAATTCATATTAACTCCTATCTATTTAATAAATTCTATAATTATATGTATGCATGCATGCCACAGCTTGCATTTGCTTGCTTGCAAAAATTAATAAAAATAGCTGAAAATGTATTGCTTGCATTTGTTCAATTTACCTTTAATTCAAATCAATTAGATGAATTAGATGATACTGACAATGGAACAATCAATATATACCAAGTTTTGTAAGAATCTCTCAGTAAAATTTATATCAAGAAAATCAGTATTACTTTCTGCTTGTAAATACTGATTTACTGGATGTTCAATATTCATCACAGTTTACACCTAGGTCTGATGTAAACTGAGTGTAAACTAGGTGTAAACTGGGTAAAAATGTAATGGTGATAACCTCCCCAACTTTCAGAGTGCATATGGTATATATACAGTGTGTCAGATAAGGTTTTTTTTCTGCTAGCCATTTTGGCCACTAGATTTCAGATACCACTGGCCAAACAGATTTGGCACTAGCCAGTATAAAATTATGCTAACATCGGAAATTCTTACGAAAATCATTAATTATATCTAAAAAGTACAGAAACCTGTGCATCCATGCCCCCCCTCCTCCATAAATTTTTTGAAATTTAGAACCTCTCATGTGCAAACTGAGCATGAAAGTCCTCATAAAAGTCAAGTTTTAGGCCTCACATATGGATCTACACAGAAAATTTAATGAAGAACAAAACATACACGTGGCTTAATAACAGTCATCGCCGTATTTAGCGCCGACCTCCTGATAAGCATTCACCCCGCCAAAGTTCAAAAATATCAAGGAATAACCAAGTATTATTATCGAATACACAGAAAAAATTATTTCCGAAAGAAGTCAGCGGGCGATAATAGAGTATTTCATCATTACACTAAAATACAGAAAAAGTGGCGCATTTTGTAATTCACTGCATCATCACGATAAATATCTATCATTTGGTGCTTTCCACATTATACTAAACTAATATTATGATGAATGAAGAAGGAAATGTTCCAGTTAAAAAAAAATTTTCGCAGTGTTTCAACTCTCAACTCTCAAATAAAGAAATCCAGAGCACGGCCAATAAGAATCCACGAAATAAAACGGTTCAGGATTGATCAAGAAGGAATATCGGGATGTTCTGGATTTTCGATCTCGGTGAGTTCCTTGGCGGAAATATGCCATTATCTTCGGGTTTTCATGTCTGATTTGATCCCAGATCGCCGATATGGCAAGTGCTCCATCAAAACTGTTCGCCAGATGTATTTTCTGATGGCATTTGGCGAATGGCGACCGCTTATCTGACACACTGATATATATCTATATGTACATGTATGGCCATGATATTTCTCATGGGAGTTTGAACTTGTTCACAGTAATTCAATTAAGTAGACAGAAAGTGATATAAAGTGTCTTTAAGGTACTCAATCTAAAGTTACAGGTAATTTCATTACATTTAGAGACTATGGCTGAATCGATTGCCATGCTCTTATATAGCTATATTCCTACGAGTCTACATATGAAAACTATAAGCTGATTTCTATGTAGTATATCAAAACAATCCTTAAACTTCAGCCATTAAAATGATTGCATATAGCAAAGATACATTCATCAATTCACACACAATTAACACAGAACACAGAAATCACAATGATTTCCATATAGGATATAAAGAGTTAAGAATTGCATCTTTAACAAAAAAACATGAAGAATTTGTACAACTACGCCCTCTTTAAAAGGATCAAAAAACAAATATTTTTATTCATGGGAGTTTCCTCATTTGCTGTTTTATTAGACCCATTAGAGCCACATTGTTACATACATCATTGCTTTATGGTATCAGAGACATGCTATTGTCTTGGTTCTAAAGTGTCAGAAAACACACTACCGCACTAAAGTGTCAAGAAATATACTATTGCTCTAAAGTGTCAAGAAATATACTACCGCTCTAAAGTGTCAAGAAATACACTACTGCTCTAAAGTGTAAAGAAATACTATATTGCTCTAAAGTGTCAAGAAATACACTATTGCTCTAAGGTGTCAAGAAACACATCATGTCCTAAAGTGTTAATAACTATCCACATTCACTCTTGTAAGATTAAAAATAAAAACATGATCCTGTCAAGTAAAAAGAAGGGATTACATGCAAACTGTTACAGACAAATAACACATAACACAAACTGCAGGCTGCCAAACACCATCTGCAGAACACTGTCCACAAAAATATTAGAGACTCTAACAATATCTCAGACTTTTCCTGAACAACAAGGCGATGTCAAGTGCTAATTAGAATTCATTGTATTTGTCATTCATTTTAGCTTTTATCAAGAGATGAGAGGCAACATTGATTGCCTAAGAAGCTTGGAGGATTCTATTATAATTAACCAGGATTCCCTTAATAAAATATCAAAAGGAGAAGTGATCGATGTTCCAGTATTTGCAAGATGATGAAATAAAAATAGACTTTTTACATTGATATAAAATATAAATCTTCACTGCAATACATTTATTATAACGCTGGCCATAAGTAGTTATTGGAACGAAAATAACTATGATGAATAATATGATATTTTTCCGGAATCCGATCCATGACAGAAAATCAATGTAATCAGTGTTACATGGTTGCAATGTCATATATCAAGGAATATGCTGAAATCTCCCTTTGATGACGTTGGTAGGAACTCATTTGTTAAAGATCTTGTGCATACTTTACATGTTTACAAGTTAGTTTCTATAGAAACTACATCTCAGTTTAAGTATAAATCTTTCACCCAATATAATTTTATGTGGATACAGTATAAGATTGTGCACTATCAAATCTTAATGTTATACTAATTACCAATATACTCAACTAGACAGCAGCATCGCCAAAGCGTAGCAAATACCATCGAACAGCCATGGCTGACATTTTACAAACAAAGTATATCGTAAAAATGGCAGCCATTTTTCAAAAACTGTCATTAGACAGTGTGTCATGCTTTTAATATTCACATACCAAATATGAACAAAATCGCTCCACTAATTAGTTATAGTAAAATAGGTTAAAATGGCGGCCATTTTTCAAAATGGCTGCCTTCTACCAAGTGTCATTAGACAGTGTTGAATATGAACAAAATCGCAATAGCTTGGCTGAGACCATAGTTTGAAGAAAGGTGTTCTTTAAAGAGAGGTGAAAAATGTTTAGTGATTTTGTGAACATTTCCCTGTAGAGTGCTGCTCCTTAGAGAAAGGTGTTCACTCAGACAGGTTTTACTGTATATATCTTCACTAAATATCTTAATGGAAAAGGTGCCCAACATTCATTATCTTTACTCTTTAATTCCTATTCAACCCGATGATCTTAAATACAATGGCTTGAGAGGGCTTTATTCAATCATTCAGGTTAATACAGAAAACATGTCTAAGAGGTACACCCTTAGTTCTTTTTAAAAAAGTATTCCACTTTGGAAGTGTTTAACTAAAGGTGTTTTTTACAACCTGGTCATATGTATACAAACACCTTAAAATATGAACATGATATTTGCTGTGATGATCATCAGAATGGGTTAACTGCACACTGCAATAAGTACACAGTAATTATTGGGATTCAGGTTGCAGTTACTGTCTGTCAATGTGACATTATCAATGTGACATTCAATGACTGTCAATGTTACATTATCGTAACAATTGTTTGATAGCAATTTATTAGAGAATCAAGCTTTAATTCCTCTTTAACATCGTAAAGCCAAGCTCAGTGGCTTCCAATTAGGCCTTGGGAAGAATTCAATATTTTGAAGGAAATTAACTCTACTATTCGCCTCTATATTATGAAGAGAAAAAACTATAACATCCAAGTTTATTCTCCCTATTGCAAAGGTAGAGATTAAAAGGTGGATTGGATCGAGTGGATTGGATTCATGTAAAAGGTGGATTGGATCAGGAATCTTCAAAATATAGAATTTCTTTCTTTTGATTTTTTCTGTTAATTTTCCTCTTGCTATTTCCATCTTTAAAATATTGAGTCCCTTTGAGAAATCAGAACAAAGCAAAGACAAACACATACTCTGATAAGATGATGAAATGTCCTTAACATTACACTTGGAATGAATAAGATACTGTATCACCCTTCTACATCATTACATCTTTTATTTGACATTATGGAAGTGAAGAGAGGACCAATCTTCTTAGAGGGAGATCAATAGATTTTTTAAGGAAAATCCATATTTTGAAGATTCCTGATCCAAACCACCTTTTACATGAATCCAATCCACTCGATCCAATCCACCTTTTAATCTTTACCATTGCTAAAGACTTTTTACAATAGTCAGATAATAATAAACCATTAAACCTTGATCTCTAAAACACAAAAACCTTTGTGAAATGTCTCTCACCTTAAACTCCGCTAGCCACTCTTTGATGGTCTTGGAGCATGTCATCATCCCGTCTCTGATCATCTGCTTACATAATTACAATCTGAAATTACAAGTTTTAGTTCATCATTAAATTGGCCCAATAATTTATTGCAGGATCCGAATCCCTGAGGGAAATGGTACCTCCAGCATTGTAGTAACCAGCAGATGCTACACCCTTTTAATTTTATCGTTGAAAGATGATCTCAAGACAACTTATTTAAATAATCCATTAATTTATAAAAGCACCATTTAATGAAGAAATCCCAATTTTTGTAGAAACTCGTGGACTCGGATCAATCAGATATAGTGACTACCAAAACAATATTAAGGGTCTAATATTCTATCAGATTGCTGGAAAAATCATTGCATCAATGATTTATGATGAGCCAAGAACGATGAGACATATAACAAGGCAGTGTCTAATATACCATACATACCCCACAAAAATATGGCTTCTCTCTAAAATTTGAACAATCTGCTAGATTTGCTGATACGAGCGCTTATCATGTAATTTGCTATTCATTTTATACCTTACTGATTCCACTCTTTTCATATATTACAAATGCATCCTAATCTGATTAGCCAACATGTTTTTTACAGGACAGCCACATCCACAGTATCAATTTGGGCATTTACAATATTGGATTAATATTCCCATGAGGAAATGTTCAAAGTAGCCATGTTTTAAAATGGTAAATGCTAGAATGAAAAATATGAGATCTGTAAATTATAAATGACCAGAAAATTATAAATAGTTGAGAATCCATGCTTATACCTAGGATACACAGACTTGAAATATTGCTGCAATTTTCATACATTGTCACAAATGAGCAGTTTCAGTGGTGATATATCAAAGAGAGTAGACATACGTAAGCATTTGCTTTTAGTGTAAATGAAAAGCAACAGCAACTACCCAAAGTTCATTGGTAAATATTCATGTGTTGCCCTCCGACTAAAATAGATTAATTTACAGTCTGATGTTCAACCAATCAGAGAGCACCATATAGTCATCCTTACATATTACAATCATGTATATATAGGGAACTATCTTGAATGAAAGGTTCTGATTAGCTCAGCAAAATTGAAGATTTGTCAGAAATAAAGAGGGTGAGAAAGAGACAATCACCTTTTCAAAGGGTAGTTGTTAAGATGTATCAAACAGTCTTGCCTTTTCTTAATAAGCCAAAAATCAATTTGTCAAAACTGATGCATCAAGTACAAATGAAGGAGAAAATTGATGATCTAGAAAAATAGTGTAGAGTTGAACTTCATCAATTGTCATTGTATTGCAGTCAGGATATAAACAGAAAATAGAGAGGAACAGAGAGGAATCTGTGAGAAAGAAAGGATGTAACAAATTGACATGTGAGATTCAGCGGATTCGGCAACCTCAGCTTCCCCATCCCCTGGCTGGGCCCTGGCTACAGGCCTGGTTTTCACCTCTAGATATACATTCATGCAAGAAAATAACTGCACAGATCATAGTTTAGCCAGATTATTTTGAAAATGACATCCGTTTGCACAAGATTTATCTAACTTTTGAATCGGCAGAAGTGTCAGATTTTCTTAATATTACATATTTTAGAATGTTACCTTTTATTCACTTTTTTATTTGCAATTATGGAATTCAATTTGCTGGGGATATTCCTCTGTCAGTCAGTCTAAAATGAAGCGTGGGTTGTTTGACAGAATATCCTTTGTTATATGAAATACAGAATACCGTATTCTCTGTAATTAGCACCCACCCCCTAATAAGCGCCCACCCCACTTCACAAAGTTCAAGAAATATCCAATGTATTTTTTAAAGATATGTTTATTTGTGCTAATATTCTATGCTTAAAACCAACACTTTCAATATAAGTACATGTAATGTGAAGAAACATTTTACTATGGACAAACAAGACGGCAGGGGTGAAAAGTGGAAAATCATGGAAGTGAAATTAAACAAATGATACTATAAACCATCAAACAGATCGCCACTCAATTGTTGTGTACAGTGATTATGCGGATGTTACAAAAATGAACCAATCTGAGAATGGCGATTATGACGTAGTGGGCAGATATAATATATATGCCTGCTCCAACCGGGATGTAAAGCTATATCTGCCCAATGAAGAAAATATAATATGTATTTATAATCTTGCTTTATGTACCTGAAACACGTCCCAGTATGGGATAAACATCTATAGGCCTACTAGATAATCAGATTGACAGGGCTTGAACTGAGACTTCCATTTTAGTTCAATTTGTTATCCTGACACTATTTGTATTGATCCTGGTCCATTGCAGCCATGTGGCCCTGATATATTCATGCACTGAACTTGAACAATAATTGTTATTTCTTATATCAGAAAATGGAAGGCAAGTAGGATGAAATCAAGGATGTATATAAATTCTTAATTTCATCCTACTTTAGAGTCCATTTCACTGTTTAACTGCGTCAGTAAAAGCTAAAAAATAAGAAATCAAAATATCATTTTGCAATAATATATGGAAAAATATATTCCTATTGTACATGAATGACATTTGTATATCTTGGATTGCTTCTACTTTGGCTTATAAAGTGTGTGGCCTCTTATATTTGGATGCTTCTCTGCCATGTTATTTTCAATAAGATTAACATGGCTTAAATTCTTCAAATTACAAGACGGCACAGGCTTATTGCACAAAAAACTAAAAAATCTGAAATATACAAATGTCATTCATGTACATTATGAATATACTTTTCCATATATTATTGCACAATGGTCTCCCAATTTCTTATTTTTGCCGTTCTACTGACGCACTGAAGCAGTGAAATGGACTCTACTTCCAGATTAAACATCCCATTAACTAACATGTCTATATCTGTTCTTGCTTATTTCATATCTTTTCTCTCAAAAACTTGCTTGTTTTCTAGCATTTCTTTACAATCTAAATACATGGATTACTTTTTTCTTTTTTTAATTCCAATCTTTTTATTCCATTTTTGATTTTAAAACATGACCACCAATCCACCATGAAATGTTTTCTATGTGAAAAACATCTGAAAAACATCCCACTTTCTATAATTATAATCAATAAATCTAATGGAAATACTATCTTATTCCCATGATTCTTTGCAAACCTCAATTAATCTGATTGGTGCAACAAGATCATGTGCTATCATTGGTGCATTACTGGCATTGTACTTCCTTTTTAATCTAATGTTACAAATTCTACTAATGGCATTTGCAAAATATATAAATGACATGAATGCCACAATTCATTGAATCTTTTCTATTAAGTTAATACTGTTCATGTTGAATAGTTGTAGATAAGTTGGTAATTCACCTTGACTGAGTGCAAGACAGAAAGAAATAACTAAGAATCTAACCCCCTCCCCCTACATCAGATTACCATTAAGTTTAGATAGTGTAACTGAAATAGTTACAGTCGTTAGAATTGTTGATGTTCTAACTAAGGCCTGTTGTTTAAGTTTATAAGAGGGGTGGGAGGTCCAGGGTCATACACTTGCTGGAACTTATAATTAGTGTGGTGAAGTTGATTAGATTTATTCTTGTAACGTCTATTATGTTATGATATTTCAAGGATGAATAAAAGATAATATTATCTCAATAATTGTTAATATTAAGCTATTTATTCACTTTGAAACATGTTTAATTACATAGACTGGACTGTAAAAAGATTTTGCCATCCTTGGTCCATGGGAACTATACTCTCACTAATATTTGACGCTATTATATCTGCGTTTTTGGCATTTTGAAATTTCATGGCTATTATATTTCGTTAATTTTCAGTTTTTTTTAAAATTTTGCGGCTATTAATTTTCCCAGATTTGGCATACAAGATCACCAAAAATTACAGGAGTACAGTTTTTCACTTCATTCCGTATACAGCAGTGAAGCCTGATATTGAAGGATGGGATTTTGCAAGGAGTAGAGTTGGTTAAAATGATCAATTAAATGCTCCAAATCCCAGGTATAAAAATATTCTTAGTATACATGTATTGGAATCAAATAATCAGATAAACATATCAAATTCATACCATTATCAATATAGCAGAATGCAATATTTATGATTTTAATAATGGATCAAACCACTTATTACATGCATTATTAGTGTTTGTAGAATCCAGGCCCCAGTCCAGCATGCAGTTTTCAAATAAATAATTTATCTACTTAATAGATATAGTTTAGGATTATTTGTTTGATAGTTGTAACAGTTGTATGGTTTTATGCCTCCATTTCTGTTTGATTATTTTGTTTCTCAGACTGACAAAAAATTTACTTACAGTGCAGACGTTTTTCTAATTTGTTAACTTAATGAATAACCATTCATTAACAAAGATTTGTTGGTCAACCCATCCCATGGGCTTTCAATAAATGCCCATGGTCAACCTTGTTACCTTTTATGATGACTTTTGTAGATTGGGTTATTTTGGTGCTACTCAATTTGGAGATTTTGCCATTTTTGGAATATTGTTGGCTGTTTAATTTAGCAGACACTAGGGCTGGGACATTGCAATGTTATATTTATCAGTCGCCAACATCTGTTGATACTGACTAGGTTTACCAATTTTTTTTTTCTTTCGAGATCTTCCTGGGAATGAACCTCAATAGATGGTGCTATAATTCAAAGTTTTTCTTTTTAGTTTTTCTATCAGAATTGACTTGATTGACCCGTACTGAGCCAATTTAGAAGTGACATTTTCTGATTTTGTAAAAAGTAAACCGAAAGGATAAATACACAGGACAAATTTTTTGTTTTTTTTAAACTTTGGCAAAAGATGTAAATTGGTGTCTTTTTCTATTTTGCCAAATTTGCTTATTTGCAATAAAGTGAGCGTCAACTTTAACCAGTCTGCAGTTCATACTTTCAGTGAAATTCATAAAATTTTAATAGATGGCACTCTTTCAGTTTTGAACTCACCGAGCCATTCAGAGTCCATCATCGAAATATGGACCGCTTTCTATCTATGATAATTTTCTCTGAGGTCATTGCACAGTTAATGAGAATGCATTTAGCATGTGTTCCTTCCAGCTCACTGATTGGTTGAGAAAAGATCAGTGTGGTAGATTTAAAATGATTTATGACCCGGGAAGATAGCTAGTAGAAATCAACGTCGTAGGAAACAATCATTGATATACTGTCAATCACTCAGGCAATGAATGAACCAATGTTGTACCCTATACACTGTACGTCAATTGACAGATGAAAGCAAGTTTCAATATATGTGTACGCAAATCGTCCAGATTTGTTTAAATAATTAACTTGGGCTTTCATAAGGATGAATCTGAATACTGTTCTGGGTCTAAATCTGCACAGCTTCATACTTATAGGACAGGTATGTACAGTTGTAAGACACCTAGAACTGCCAAATCCAGTCGATTTTGTGTTCATGCATGTTTATTGAGTTGATATCTTGTTTATCAGGTAACCATTCAGTTTTTCTGATATTAATAGGTTAGCCGATTATTTAGAAAATTGCTCTGTCTCTTATAGGTATTCGGTAAAAAGATAAAGTTTAATATCAAACAGAAGTCTACACAGTCAATTAGAGTCCATTTCACTGCTTCATTTCGTCAGTAGAACGGCAAAAATAAGAAATTGGGAGACCATTGTGCAATAATATATGGAAAAGTATATTCATAATGTACATGAATGACATTTGTATATCTTGGATTGCTTCTAGTTTGGCTTATAAAGTGTGTGGCCTCTTATATTTGGATGTTTCTCTGCCATGTTATTTTCAATAAGATTAACATGGCTGAAGTTCTTCAAATTACAAGACGGCACAGGCTTATTGCACAAAAAAATAAAAATCTGAAATATACAAATGTCATTCATGTACATTATGAATATACTTTTCCATATATTATTGCAAAATGGTCTCCCAATTTCTTATTTTTGCCGTTCTACTGACGAAATGAAGCAGTGAAATGGACTCTAGTTACTATAAAAGGGGAAAATGTGCAAATTTAAAAGTTGGTAACCCTGCTGGGAATGTTAGGTACCCAGTCACCATCCAGTTTTTACACAAACCATGGGCTCTATCAGGGTGGTAGAGCCCATGCACAAACCCAATCCTCTAGGCTGGGTGAAAATTCGAAAAAACAAAAGTGGCAAGCAAGAGACATAATCATGTCTGTCATCTTTAAGTTCTGGGGCCGTGAATTCGTACGATCCCCAATCCAATCCGGATAAATTTTATCTTTAGGGATAAATCTTGGATCACTAATCCGATAAATATTTGGTGAATTCGTACGATCCGCCCAGCCTTTCAGTAGGTGATGTAGGTTCGAACCTAAAGTGAACCTAAAAGTGAATCCCACAATTTGATGGCTACCTAAACGAACCTACTTCATGTAGGTTCGCTTTAGGTTCGAACCTAAAACTACCTAAAGCACTTTAAAAAAATCAGAAACTTGTAGGTAGTTTTAGGTTCGAACCTAAGGCGAACCTAAAAATGTTATACTTTTTCAGGATTTACCTAAACCGAACCAAAAAATCTTAGAAATTATCTAGAGTTACCTAAAACTACCTAAAACACTTAAAAAAATCGAAAAGTTGTAGGTAGTTTTAGGTTCGAACCCAAAGCGAACCTAAAAAACATAGTCATTCTTCAAGAGTTACCTAAAGCGAACCTAAAAATCTTAAATCTACCTTAAACACTTCAAACTTGTAGGTAGTTTTAGGTTCAAACCCAAAGCTACCTAAAGCTACCTAAAGCAAACCTACAAAACAGAAGTTCTGTCACAGCCACTAGGGGCGCTGATAGCAGGAAGTATCAATGCATTGTGGGTATAATATTCAAACTAAAATCAGTTAGACAGGAAATTTGGAAATAGCCAGGAAAATGGGGAAATATGCTGAAATGACCATCACATCAGTGCTCATTTACAAAGTACATGTAAGTAAGTGTACAAATGATCAATCAATATATTATTTTAACCCAGTACTGGCGGTAGCCTCAACATTTTGTGGGTCACATGACCCAGTTCAATCAAAAAAGTGGGACAAACTTGGAAAATGTGGGTCAAATTGAATTATGATAATAAAGCGTCATTTTAGGATAATCTAAAGTACAAAAACGAATGTGCTGCAATGAGACTTCATGTCTTAGAGACTGACAATCAGCTTAGGCCAAAAGGTTGGGTGAAACATAAACCAAATCAATGGATAATGACCAAATAGCAGTGCGGCGCAAACTAGGGGGGTCTGGGGGCATGCCACCCCCCGAAAAATTTGAAATTTAGACCCTCTCTTTATATAAACAATAAGAAAAATAAGAAAAAATTGTGTTGTTTGAAAACTTTATTTTTATTTTTTCAGATAAATTATGCAGATTTTTGAACTTTTTTTGAAAACATTTAACCATAAGATAAAAATCAGTATTTACCTGTCACTAATATCAAACTGTATATGAGCAATTGATCTCAATGAAGCAGATCAATACATAATTGATTGTAATTAATTTTTTTCTTAATTACTTTGTTTTTAAATGTTGCCCCTTGTTCCTCCTCACTCTGGTGTAAATTAATAAACTCAATATTCCTTTCTGACACATTATCAATCTCAATGAAATATAAGGATCAACACTCTGACTTGTAATATTTTATTTGTTTTCAAATGTTGCCCTTTGTGCTTCCTTATGATGTAAGATAATGCCAAGAAGATCAATTGTATTAATTAAACAGTTTGTTTTCAAGTTTATGTTTAATTGTTAATAATAGTATCCATTGAAAGTTGGCAGGACAGTGATAAAGGTTTTTTGCTACTGACCCATTAATCTCAAAGCAATGACGTTTTGGTTTTTAGAGGTCAATCAAAATGGTGGCCGGATTACAGTAAGATAATTATCTCAGTGTTTCTCTAAAACACTGCTGATTATCTGCCTATCATACTTAGATTTTGTCTTCACAAGGTAGGCCAATTTATATTCTTTCATTTGATATGTTTAACTTAATTGAAAGCCGGAGATTTTCGTCTGAAAGCCGGAGAATGAATCTGATCGGTAAGACTATCGGTCAAAACCTTGTTTTTTCTTATGTATTGCTATTCTTCCCGGGAAATAGCGTTAGTCTACCTGGGGATCAAAGTGCGTCAATGAAACGCAATTAGTTGTCAATTCTGCGTCAGACTTGATCAAATGTGAGTAAAAACGGTAAAAAACGGCGTTAACGCCAGCTCTGTAACCTCTTGAATACCCAGAATGACGGATATATCTGTCACAGAATTTTTCACTAAAACTGCTCTAACTTTGGCAATTTTTATCCAATCTTCACAAATGATGTTTTAAAATGAATGTAATGGGTCTATGTTTACTATTCTTATGAAATCAAACATCAACTGTTGTGTTTTTAGATGTAAATATAAAAAAAACTGGCAAAAAATAAACAATACTCTGGTTTCAAACCCTTTTTAGAGGCTGGTATTCAAGAGGTTAAGTGTTATAAAAGCATGCAATTATAAAATAGGAGGAATTTTAAATAAATGTACCTGAGTGAGAAACTAAGCATCAAAATGTGTGAGAAATAAATAAACAGTTGACATATAGCCTATACAGTTCACAAGTTTGTAGGGTCCAGACACCCGGCTACCTCCATAGGCCAGCTTAGGACCATCATTGTAAATAAATGTACTTGCGTGAAAATATATGCATCAAAATGTGTGAGAAATATATAAACAGTTCAAATCAACAAATCAAGTCACCTAGCTGCTGGGTGGTCTAAAGCCAACCCAGCCCTTGGAAGTTTTAGGTAGTTATAGGTTCGCTTTAGGTGATCACCTAAAGTAAACCTAGACCTAATTAGCATATTTGAACATCGCCTAAAGCGAACCTACCAATGGAGTTTTTACATGGGGAACTACCTAAAGCGAACCTAGAAATCCTAGTTAAATATATCACCTAAAGCGAACCTACTGAAAGGCTGGGGGATTATGAGGGGAATCCCCAAAATTTATCCAATTTGCATCGGAATTCAGATAAATTTATCCAAAAAGTAATCAACCTCAAGAGGTTGATTGAGATTAATCCCAAGATCGTACGAATTCACCGATTTTTGGATTAATTCTTGGATTAAGGTACAGCTGGAAAGTAACATTTTGGTAAAAAATTGCTATACCTGCACATGTTATTTTCTGGTACAAAATAAAGTATGAAGGCATGTGTCAATTTCCTTGCTTTTTTCAGGAAAGTATCATTACATTGTCTTCTTTTAGAATATCTGGTAGGCGTTCAATGAGAACTCAGGGAAATTCTGATATTTCACACTTTCTATTTTTCCAAATTTTCTTTCAAAGTTTCCAGACAACACAGGAGCTACCATTGACCTGTTTCCAGATATTCTAAAAGAAAACAGTGTAATGATACTTTCCTGAAAAAAGCAAGGAAATACACACATGCCTTCATACTTAATTATGTACCAGAAAATAACATGTGCAGGTAGATCTCTATAGCAATTTTTTACCAAAATGTTACTTTCCAGCTGAACCTTAATCCCACAATGCATCATTACTATGACGAAATGTATCCGCATCGGATCTCAGATCGTATGAATTCACCGCCCCTGGGGTTTTCCCTTCTCTTACTAACCCCCTCTAACTTTACTAGACTTTACTTATTCAAAAGAGATTGAAGATTCACTGGCAGTTTTGAGTTAATCTCAGAAAAATAAGTGAAATCACATAGAAAAAGAACAGATTCAAACGATAACAGCTGTGTACAATAGGCCCAATGTCCGTATTACAATGAAACAAATGACTAAGCGAATGTACTCACAACAACACTGCAAATCAGTAAAGTTGTCCAGAAATATTTTCTCTGAAACGAACAGGAAGCAGGAATTTAAACATGCGCATTGATCAGCCTAATTTCGTTTCTGTGCGCACCTCAGGCATTTAGCATTTTCGCGATAGAATAACATCAATATTATACCTTAACACAGAAAAACAAAAGGAATTATCTCTATGAATCGTTCCAGGAGAGCATGTTCTTTGTAGATTGTGCAGCCATAAAGAAAATACTCTTTTAATGTTGACCTTGGAGTAGCTTCCGTTATAAGACTTGTGGGTAAAAACAAAGATGGCGGCCCTCATGAAAAGTAATTTTTGTTTTTATTTTTGCTGATTATTGCACAGGGGCTTGTCTCGAGGCGACGGGCAAGCCCTCCGATGAGTGTACTGCTTATTAAGAGTAAAAAGGGAGCTCGATTTTGATGCTACCTGAAATTTGTAGAAAATGATTGTAAGATATATCCAGTAAAATGGAATCCTTTCAATAATCGACATGCTGATTCAAACAACACTACAGAGTAAACTTACCTAAAATGGTAGAATTCCATCTACTAGTTTCTGAGAAATCTGAAGAATATGTAAAGAAGTGATTACACTGCAAGTACCGAAAATTTTTGAAGCCAAATTATTACCTCCAGAGTCGATTTCTTCCCCAAGACACGTCCACTGTTAAAAATTGGTAGTTCCTAGAGTTCTTTGTTTCCTAAGGTTCATTCAATTTGCGTATTTGTCACGCATTTTCTGGAAAATTTGAAGTCACGCCAGTTTTTTGCGTGACAGAAAATGTCACGCAAATACGCATTTTACCTGATAATTGTCAAGCAAAAATATTCCTCTAGAAATTTTTTTAAAAAATGATCGCCGATACAGCACAAAACCGAACGTCGCAGACTTTTCACGCTGATACTGTATATGTCACGCTTTTTTGTTGAAATATTCCATACTATTCGTGATTGTCACCCATCTGCTGGAAAAAATGAAATCACGCCTCAATTTTGCATGTATGATAAAATGTCATGCAAATCACCCATTATTATCTTTATATTTAAAAAATTTTCTTATTATAAAATGCGGAAATAGTAAAAAACGAGCGTTGAAAAAAAGTGAACAGATTCCGTTCAGACTTTTCACATGAATTCCGTATGTCACACATTTGCTTTGAAATATGTGTATATGTCACGCATTTACTTCGAAATAATTTGTACCTACCTAATAATTTATACATTTATTTACATTTTATACTTTCTTTTTTTTCTTTTTTTGGTCATGGGTGTTAGAGTTAGCAGTTGTTTCTATTATCCAATAATTATCAATGACTATGTAAATACTCTTATTGAATGAGTTTTCTTGGAAATGTTAAGGTCGGGGTGCATGTTCAGAATTTTGCTGCAATTCTGAATAGCGTAGCATATTATTTTTCAAATTTGAATCACTCCTTCCCCAAAATGTCTACATCTCTCACTTTTGCACAATGAGTGCACTAATGTACCTAGAAAAGAATGTAGAGAAGAATGTTTTGATAAAATGTATAAAAAACAAGAAATTTCAAATCTTTTCACTGAATTTTTTCGTTTTTTATACATTTTACAAAACAAATCTCACCAGTCTTTTCTAGGCACATTAGTGCACTCTTTGTGCAAAACTGGAAGATGTAGACAATGTGGGGAAGGAGTGATTCCTGTTTGAAAAAATAACATGGCACTCAATTGAGGAATGCAGCAAAATTCCGAACATGCACCATGGCCTTTAAAGCACAGCATTATGCAATTCAATAAGAGTATCTACATATAGTCAAAATGAACCTCTTATCAACCTGGCTTCAGGTGCAGAGTGCAGTGCAGTGCAGTACAGTGCAGATCCACAAAAATCAATAGCCACAGAATATCAATAAGCAGAAATTAATGAAAATTAATACAGTGCTGATACAAATTAATTGATATGTATAGTTGGCATATTTTCTTGAATTTTAATATTTAATGTCATAAACTCCCACAATCTGATAAGCACACAAAGTAGCGTCAAATATTAGTTGGAGTACAATATTCCAAAAGGAATTGTTAAAAAGTCAAAATTTAATTTGTGTACTGTAATTCTAATTTTAGGAAACCTGTATGTCACACCATGGGCAATTGTGCGTCACAAAGTGAATCTGAAGGGAAAGCCCAGGCCAACTTGGTATGAAAGATCAATTGTTGAAAAGATAAGTGTGCCATTGATGCCTCGGGCTCCAGTTGATTATGCCAACAGATGTGGGAAGCTGAATAATCAGAGGCAACAGTTGATACAAGTATGTACTTTGTATTCTTGACTAATAAAATTATAATTTTATTATATTATTCATTGTTTTACTCTTATTGTTTTTTAAATTGTAAGTCTCATTCTGCTGTTTGAATTTTGTAAACAATAATGGCTTACGATTACCTAGTGAGAGCACTGTATGTTGTTTTTGAAGGGCAAAACAGATCTGTGAATTTTAAGTATTGTATATCAATATAAGATAAGAAAATCTGTCAGTTCAAGTTGTGGAATAGTCATGATCATATTTCAACTGTATATTGGTTAATGAAATCACAGAATGAAATTTTGTGCTTGAGCTGATGTGAAAAAGTCACAGGCCTGTCAACTGTCCCGCAATTTGCGTATTTGTCACGCATTTGCTGAAGAATTTGAAGTCACGCCAGTTTTTTTTGCGTGACAGATAATGTCACGCAAAATACGCATTTTACCTGGCAATTGTCACGCAAAAATATTTCTGTAGAAATTTTTTCGAAATATGTTTACGATACGGTAAAAATACGAACGTCGGAAAAAACCGAACGCAATTTGTTCGGATTTGTCACGCGAATCCCGTATGTGTCACGCATGTTCATTGAAAATTTTTCGTACCAAGTTGACAGCCCTGAAGTCAGTAGTATAGAACCTACCACAACCCATTTTTGCACGCTCGGTCTTCACCGACTGGAGTTGAGTGAACGAAGATGACCACAACCCCTCGATTCAAATTTTAAAGATGATATGATTTCAGGATCTCTTTGAAAATGCTCCCATTTTGCATTTTGGTTGAACATCTTGGACAGGTTTCATGATAACAAGTTAGGCCATAGTGATACAATACTAATTAAAAAATCATTTCTAACACTGCTGCATTATTACTTATTTTTATAATTTACAGGATCATCCATATCAAGATTTCCTTATCCGTAGATGTAAAGAAATGTTTGAGAAGAACAGTATGGTAGCTGTCTTCCAACAGCTTAGTGCAAGTCGCAATGAGCAGAACAAAAATTTGAACAAGTTCAGGAAAAAAGGATTTACTTGCCACCATTTTAACAACCTAGTTGTGAAGTGAGTATTGTGTGCCCAGTGAATGAAATTCTTGTAGAATTTTGGTGTGTCTAGTATCGAATTTTCACGACACAACTTTCTAAAAAGAGCATCTTGTTTTTCTCAATTTAAACATGTCAAACGTTTCTTCTACACTATATTAACACTTTCTGAAAAGGGGATAGGTATTGTAATGCATTAAAGTTAGAAACCGTATTTCCCATGTTATTTTCCCATAGGGAAAACTTGTGCTATCCATTGTTTTCACCATAATTTTGGTCATCGAAAATTGATATCTTCAAAACTAGACTTTCAATACCATTCTACTTTTGAAGAAATTTTAGACACCTTGTTGAATAATCTTTTCTTGCAATAAAAATCAGAAAAAGAAGATCCTCTTTTGAGTAAATAGGTTCAACATTTTGAAAAAAATTTTGACATGGGGTCCCTATTCATGATTTTTTGGATTGTTCGATTGATATTTTTATCATCATTGGTACTTCACTTGAAAGAAAACATATTATTGTTTTCATAAAAACCACTGTATTTATGCCCAGAAAGTACTCATGGTGAAAGATATGACTGTCTAAAATCACTTGCCTTACTGCACATGGATCTTTGCAAAGGTACCCAGCTGCTTGAATGCTAGAGAAGATGATTGCTACATGTCATGACTTCATGAAAGATGATACGCCTTTCTTTGTATATTCAATTTGTTTTCATCGACACATGCTATTTTGATTCTAAGCATGACTTCTTATTTGATTGTATTCATTTGATTATTCCAGGAGATCTATAGCTGACACTAAGTGGGCAAACATGGCACCTTTGTTTGTCTCATCAACATTTTTTATCGCAAGTGAGGAGGCAAAAGTGAAAGATCTTGTACAAGCCAGTAAGAAGGTGACAGACTTTGTACTATTAGGTAAGTATTCATGCTGAAGCCTCCTCCCATCCTCCTAAGCAGGTATCCAGAATCCGTACCTCCTTCTTCCCCCCTGCTATAACCAACTTGGAAGCGCCCGATTAAACTGAATCACGTGATCTTATTATGCACAATGACTTATACATGATTTCTGTCGCAACCAATCAGATTGCGAGTTCTTAATCGGGGAAAGGCTAACTGCTTATCGCAGGGGGTAAAAGAAAGAATATATTCTGGATTTTGAAGCCATGTGATCGGAGGATGCCTCCTCCCTGCTTTACTAGTTCTCTTATCTCTTGAGTTTAACAAAGTAAACTGCATTATTTTTACGACATCATCAAGAATTGGTGGCATATTTTTGTATCCACTATTTTTTAAGAACTAGCATTGCCAATTGTAACAGATTGTTTCACTGTTGATATTACAACAACCAAGTGATCACTTAATATTGTTTCAATTCATGTAAAACTACAAATACAACCAAGTGATCACTTAATAATGTTTTAATTCATGTAAAACTACAAATAGACTAAAAGTTGAAATAAACTTACAAATAATCATTTCTTGATATTTCTGATTTCAGGTGCAGTAGCAGACGATAGGTTATTTTCCAAGCAGGGTCTGATGGACTATGCAGCATTACCAGACATAGAGACAAAACGTGCTGAATTAGTTGGCATACTCAATCATGCAGCATCAAATACAAAATCTCTGTTAGAGAGACACCAACAGACTCTGAGTACAAGTTTAGGACAGTTCATTAAACAAAATACACAATCAGAAACATTAAATGAATCTAATCAGACTGAAACTAAAGATGGTGGTAATTCTTCTTGATAGATTATACTGGATCTTTTCATATTTATAGAATAAATTGATACATATTGGAGATTATTTCATTTATGAATCATTTAATCAACTCTCATTTAAAATTTTTCATTTTCTTATGTCACCACCAAAAGTGGTGACATTGTTTTGGTCTCCAACTTTTTTTGTGGACAGGGTACAGCAGTTGGCATCTGTTACAAATGGTAGGTGATGAGATTTTGCATCTTAATGCCTTGTTTCTGTTAGAGATATAATCAGTAAATGTTTTTACCAATCAGCGATGATGACATGATCTCAGTGAAGACTATATTCACCTTTCCACAAAGTAAAGAAAATTGATAATTTCCGGCACGCTGATTGGTTGTATGCAAATGAGTCAAATCAATGACGTCAATGATGGAAAGTTTTGAAGAATTAGTACAGCCAGCATAGGAATATTTTGAATTAACTGCTATAAAAAGGATTCTATTTGCCCAACGCACTAATTATTTTTAAGCAAATATGAAATCTGGACGGGGCACTTTCTTTCTGAATCTTATGTAATTTAATTTAAGCATTTTTTTGACAGAACTACTGTTTATTAAGACTTCTCAGATCAGCCTCACATACCAGGGCTCACGTGTCTCGTGTGATTGTAAATAAAAAATGTAAATTGTGAAGTTACAAACATCGGCTAAATTATCTGATAGTGGTCATACACTATCCTGTTAAATGGTTATTATGTCGTAGTAAGAAGTTCCATCAGAAATTCACAATGAGTGACATTCGCACAAAGCGTTACCTTTTGGTATTTATTCACCAACAGCGATGTCAATAATGATCAGCAATGTCAACATATCATCAATAAACATTATATGATATACGCTCTTTCTCTGAAATCTTCCCAGTGACCATTATTCAAAACCGATCATCACATAACTAATTTATCCAATGACAAGTGAGGTTTCACAAGTGAAATCAGGACACCCATATCCATGTTTGATTTCTATTAAGCTTTCTCATTCTCATTATTTTCGAGAAATCCATCATCATTTTGGTTAAGATAAATTCTACTGTCTGCTGGATCTATTTTGACAGTTTTGTTTTAGCAAGATATTTTAACCAATTGACTGTTTCTACACTGAATAAAAAACATTTCCCCGGGGATATTTGGATCGGGAGATACGCAGCGGGAAATATACATTGGACTATATACACGTTTATCCCATACTTGGATGTAAATTGGGAATATTTGAGAGAACAGGAAAATCCGCCCACGGCCAAGAAAACAAAACTGGACATGAATATTCTAAAGTATTTCCACGATTGAACAATGTGAAGCGGATGACCAAGATTGGTATGAGATAAACATATTATCCTATAGTCGGTTCAGGATATTGGGATTATCCCTTGGCATGGCCAATATAATATATTTTCCCTCTGGACCTTCGGCCCTCGGGCAGATATATTATAATTGCCTCGGGATAATCCCAATATCCTGAACCTCATGTAGGATAATCTCTATATATGTCACGCTCCTCTAAGATATCAATTCTATATTCCAATGTTTTCAAGTATAATATTTTCAAGATACGATCTGATATGACTTGCAGAAATAAATAGGAAGTAATCGTTTAGTTGATTGAATTATGGAAGTAGTGAAGACAATGATTTAATGAATAAGAGCAAATGTTTTTAATTTGAACAGGTCATTCATCAAATGACACTGAAGATTATCTTAAAATAGATTGTCTATCTATATATTTTTTATGCATGAGAGACATGTTATAATGTTGGTGAACTAATGATTGTGATAATTTCACCTGTTCACATCCAGTTCCTATCATGATTGAAAACTGACCGGGAGTAATTTTCTTCAAATTATTTACTCATTATGAACAGAAATTTAATATTTAAATCACTTAGAAGGCGTAAATAAATGTCAATTTGACGTTCAATAAGAATCTGTCAATAATTTACTGATTACTTGCACATTTGAAGAGGTAAAACTTACCGCAATCAACCGAGGATTTACATGTTAACTCAATTGCATTTGTTTTTCGCGGGAAAAAGTTTCAGTCATTGACGTCACCGATTTTTAAGCAGCTCATTATAATATTCATAAGCTGACTTTGTGGAAAGGTGAATAGATAGAATTTCATCTTAAGATCCATTCACATTGAGAGGTTATTAAATCCCCTTGGTACATGTGGTACAGGGTCATCAACAAAGGAAGAGGTAAACAAAATATGTTTTCTATTGGTAATGCATAAACCCAATGGACTTCTGATGTCACTTATTGTCACACCTTTTTATGTCACCACCAAAAAAAGTGGTGACATTTTGTTATGGTCTCGGATATTTTTTGACGGCGGTTGGCGATCAGCATCTGAAACAAATTCTTACAACTTCCAATAATTTAACAAATGCTGTATAGACTGACTTCAATAACTAATACTGTATAGACTGACTTCAAATGTTTTCAAAATCATTTACATGTTTTTAGATGTTCAAATCTGACTTTAAATTTAAGATTTGACCTTCAATGACCTTTTCAAGGTCAAAAAAGGTCTTTTTCAACTTGCTTCAAATTGACCAATTTCTTTCAAAATCATCTATAAGTTATCAGAAGTTCAAACCTGACTAAGATTTGACCTTCAATGACCTTCTTAAGGTCAAAAAGGTCTTCTTTAACTCTTTTTTCAACAGTTCAAATCTGACTAAAGATTTCACCTTCAATGACCTCCTCAAGGTCAAAAAGTCATTTTTTATCTTGCTTCAACTAGGTGGTGACATTTTGTCATGTTAATGCCTTGTCTGTAATTACTACTATAAATAGGTTTCTTGTAGTTTATTTCATTGATGTAAATTAATTGTAAAATGTATTATTTTATAGCCTGGTAATATAAGTTTTTTGACTTCAATTTACTACATGTACATGTGCATGTACATGTATGTTTGAGTCAATACTGTAAAATCATCTTGAGCCATTCCAGTCAAAGAACAGTTTCAATTTATTCATAACGGACATAATGTTGTTATTCTTCAAGCTTGCGCTGTGCATTCATCACCTTATCTCTCTCTGTTGCTTCTTGTTAATTAAAAAGACCCTTCTGAGCTTTTGGCCTTTTACTGTCCTGGCCTTTGTCACTGGGACATTTTGAATAAAGACCTATCTGATTGGTCATGAGTCTGAGATGGAAAAATATCCTTTGGGTGAATGAACGACCATGTGACTGAATTGTTCGTGCAGCTGATGTTTGATTCTGCCATCATAAAATTATAATATTAGGCATCAGTGATCTTTCTTTATAGTCCATGTACTACTTGCAGCAGTTGTTTCATTAGCAGGGCCCAGAAATGCTGTAGCACTCTCTGCTCCATTTGAAAGATACCTAGAAGAAAATATTTAACATGTATGATCAAAAGGACTTATTTATTAAAGTCATCATGAAGAATGAATACATAGAATAGCAAAAAATACAATATGTCTCAAAATTGAAAAAAGTGAAATATAAGTTGTCCTAGCAGTTTACAATGAGGTAAGAACAAAGAGAACCTTGACAATGTTCTCTTGATTCAAGGCTTTACATACTCTGGTCAAAGTAGAACAGATATTACATCTACATTCAATGATAATGGCATGATATTTTCATATTTTCAAAAATGTGTAGATCAACTAGGGCTGAAAGGAATAGTAAATTCTCATACCGTTTAATATTAGAATACCACAAAATGCCATTCGAATATCACCTCAGACCTATTTGCAACCGAATACTTGAGTATTCGTTTCACCCCTAAGATCAACATTTGAAAAATTTGTGTTGACAAAATGTGATGAACATGAATGAAACATAAATACCCTCCCTCCCTCCCTTCAATATTATATCCATCTGAACTGAAAGAACTCACTTCTCTGCCACAAATTGTATTTGCTGTTTGTCCGTAGAAAATAACTGGTCTCTGTGAGTCTGTCTCATGTCATCATCAATGCCTGATAGAAATGGTGTCATTCCCTGATCTCCTGGTGACACTGGCTTGTCAAGCTAAGAGAAAAGGGTGAAAGTGAAAACCATACTCACTTAAAAAATAATGTGAATCAATACTATGGGGTAGATACTGAACACCTGGAGTGAATTATCAGATACCAAAATTGAATATCTTATCATTTTGAGTGATACAAGATATAGAATACTTACTACTTGGATCTATTTTCTTTTTAATTTAGAGGCTTTAATAGATATTTATATTATTAAACTGGCATAGATGCTCATACTCTATCATTAAACTATAATAAGTGCTAAATATAGAGAAGTCACCAAGTTCAATTTGAAAATATGTATTGTTATGTTTTACATATATTTGAAGGTTACCTGTTGAAAAACTGACAGTTTAGCCTCTTCTATATCCTGTTCTTTGTAGCCTCCTTCTTTAGCCCATTGCACAGACTTATCAAATCTCTCTAATGTAAGCATTGAATTAGGGTCCCTGGAGAAGACAATATCATTCTATACTACTCTACAAAACAACTCTTCAGTTTTTTTCACTAAGTAAAGTTTGGGTTAGGGTTCCTACAACTTTTACATGATTGAATTCTCTAACATTTCCAGGCCAAAAATATATATCTTGGGGTATTATTATTCAGAAAAAGTATTATGCATTTGTTCACATATGATTCCCACATTTTAACTTGTCCTTACTCCTTAGGCCTTTAAATGTTCATTCATGATCAATTTTTATGTCACCACCAAAAGTGGTGACATATTGTTATGGTCTCCGTTTTTTTGCGATGGCGGTTGGCGTCCGGCGTCTGTAACAATTTCTTACAACTTCCTATAACTTAACAAATACTGTTTAGACTGACTTTAATTTTTTTCTAAATCATCTACATGTTCTCAGAAGTTCAAATCTGACTTTAGATTTGACATTTGACCTTCAATGACCTTCTCAAGGTCAAAATGGTCTTTTTTCAACTTGCTTCACATTGACTAAATTTTTTTTCAAAATCATCTACATGTTCTCAGAAATTCAAATCTGACTTTAGATTTGACATTTGACCTTCAAATCTGACTTTAGATTTGACATTTGACCTTCAATGACCTTCTCAAGGTCAAAAAAGGTCAAAAAGGTCTGTTTTCAACTTGCTTCAAATTGACTAAAAAAAATTTTCAAAATCATCTATGTGTTCTCAGAAATTAAAATCTGACTTTAGATTTGACTTAAGATTTGACATTTGACCTTCAATGACCTTCTCAAAGTCAAAAAAGGTCAAAAAGGTCTTTTTTCAACTTGCTTCAAATTGACTAAATCTTTTTTTCAAAATCATCTACATGTTCTCAGAAATTCAAATCTGACTTTAGATTTGACATTTGACCTTCAATGACCTTCTCAATGTCAAAAAAGGTCAAAAAGGTATTTTTTCATCTTGCTTCAAATTGACTAATTTTTTTTCAAAATCATCTACATGTTCTCAGAAATTCAAATATGACTTTAGATTTGACTTCAGATTTGACATTTGACCTTCAATGACCTTCTCAAGGTCAAAAAAGGTCAAAAAGGTCTTTTTTCAACTTGCTTCAAATTGACTAATGTTTTTTTTCAAAATCATCTACATGTTCTAAGAAATTCAAATCTGACTTTAGATTTGATTTGACCTTTAATGACCTTCTCAAGGTCAAAAAAGGTCAAAAAGGTCTGTTTTCAACTTGTTTCAAATTGACCACATTTTTTTTTCAAAATCATCTACATCTTTTCAGAAGTTCAAATTTGACTTTACAAGTTCTCAGAAGTTCAAATCTGACTTTAGATTTAACCTTTGACCTTCAATGACCTTCTCAAGGTCAAAAAGGTCTTTTTTCAACTTGCTTCAAATTGACTAATTTTTTTTTCAAAATCATCTACATGTTCTCAGAAGTTCAAATCTGACTTTAGATTTGACATTTGACCTTCAATGACCTTTTCAAGGTCAAAAAGGTCTTTTTTCAACTTGCTTCAAATTGACTAAATCTTTTTTTCAAAATCATCTACATGTTCTCAGAAATTCAAATCTGACTTTAGATTTGACATTTGACCTTCAATGACCTTCTCAATGTCAAAAAAGGTCAAAAAGGTTTCATCTTGCTTCAAATTGACTAATTTTTTTTTTCAAAATCATCTACATGTTCTCAGAAATTCAAATATGACTTTAGATTTGACTTCAGATTTGACATTTGACCTTCAATGACCTTCTCAAGGTCAAAAAAGGTCAAAAAGGTCTTTTTTCAACTTGCTTCAAATTGACTAATGTTTTTTTTCAAAATCATCTACATGTTTTAAGAAATTCAAATCTGACTTTAGATTTGATTTGACCTTTAATGACCTTCTCAAGGTCAAAAAAGGTCAAAAAGGTCTGTTTTCAACTTGTTTCAAATTGACCAAATTTTTTTTTCAAAATCATCTACATCTTTTCAGAAGTTCAAATTTGACTTTACAAGTTCTCAGAAGTTCAAATCTGACTTTAGATTTAACCTTTGACCTTCAATGACCTTCGTCCTTCAATGACCTTCTCAAGGTCAAAAAGGTCTTTTTTCAACTTGCTTCAAATTGACTAATTTTTTTTTTCAAAATCATCTACATGTTCTCAGAAGTTCAAATCTGACTTTAGATTTGACATTTGACCTTCAATGACCTTTTCAAGGTCAAAAAGGTCTTTTTTCAACTTGCTTCAAATTTACTTAATTTTTTTTTCAAAATCATCTACGTGTTCTCAGAAGTTCAAATCTGACTTTACATTTGACATTTGACCTTCAATGACCGTCTCAATGTCAAAAAAGGTCAAAGAGGTATTTTTTCAACTTGCTTTAAATTGACGAATTTTTTTTTCAAAATCATCTACATGTTCTAAGAAGTTCAAATCAAACCTTCTTAAGGTCAAAAGGTATTTTCCAACTTGCTTTAAATTGACCAAATTGTTTTAGGTGGTGACATTTTGTCATGTTAATGCCTTGTTCACTTTGAATTGCTTTAAACATAGAAACATTATTTTTCAATGGTTCAATATGAGAATACAGTGTTTAATGTTTACAGATAGTGCAATTCTACATCATCATGCAATAAAAAATATAAAATAAAAAAAGTTTCACCTTTACACTTACATTTCAATTGGCTTACCTGTATGAGTAAAATGAGAATGAGCCTGGAGAACCCCCTCCTGCTCCACCACCATATGCTCCTCCCTTCTCTCTGAAATCAGTCAAAGAAATAGCAAATAAGCTAATTTTTAAAATGAGGAGAACCCCCTCCTGCTCCACCACCATATGCTCCTCCCTTCTCTCTGAAAATCAGTCAAAACGAATTACAAATAAACTAATTTCTAACATGAGGAGAACCCCCTCCTGCTCCACCACCATATGCTCCTCCCTTCTCTCTGAAAATCAGCCAAAGAAATAGCAAATAAACTAATTTCTAAAATGAGGAGAACTTCCTCCTGCTCCAACACCATATGCTCCTCCCTTCTCTCTGAAAATCAGTCAAACAAATAACAAATAAACTAATTTCTAAAATGCAATGCACTTTACAAAATATGATGTTAACATGTTGACTTCCATGAAAGACCTGCTTCTCACCCGTCCTTCCTAAATATTATTTTTCACATGAAGATTATCCTTAACTTAAGTGATCCATTCTGTTTTAAGCTACTAATACACAAGAAACTGTTTGAAGCAACTTATAACACTTCCATAATATGGAATGAATCAGTAGTTTAGTACAGTAAAACCTGTAACACTATTTTGGGGTACTGAAGGTTCCGCTATCACAAGTTTTACTTTTTAATGGATGAATTTAGATATACAGCTCAGCTTTTGAATATTATTCTTAAAATATTTCATTCTATTGAGATGACAACATATTTTCACTCAGAATAATCTTATATCAAAACTTTACCTTGCACTGCTACAAATGAAATATAGAGAAGATTCTTATTGCTAATATACCTGATTTCCCTGTGTAGATATTTAGCTGACATGAGCCTAGATAAGATCCTAAGAGGAGCAAAGTGCTCATGTGTGTAAGGTACAGTTCGCACCACCCGTGCCATGTAGTTCACAGAGAATGGAAGCTCATACTGTACACTGCAGGGAGAAGGGCTGAATGGTTCCAATATGGGTGGAGCACTTCTTGCACAATCTCCAGGCAGAGTTTGAAGAAAACTGTTGGATTCTTTCAATGCATTGTCAATAGTTGAAGCACCAGCATTCAAGGCACACCTGAAAAGTATGGGACATATTAGACATTGGATATACTGGAAGGTTGTTCCATTACTTTCATGTATATTTTCTAAATGAGAGGCCATGTTCAAAATAATAGAATGTGCAAAATCAGGACTATTTGGTCAATGTGACTGGAGATGATTGGATATGAAATTATCTGTATTATGATATACATTTCTCGATTAATTGATCGTTCTGTTTAACAGTTCTTTACTGTGTGTAAAACAGTGACACAAACAGAAGTTGGATTTGCTTCCATTTTTATAGATTATGTTAATTTTGTTAATACTAAAACTAACTGGAAATTTTAAATTAAACTGCATTTCTAGCACCTTAAAAGTTGCTCAAGCTTAAAAAATATTTCAAATATTGATTCCTCTTTTCAGACACCATACCTTATGTTATTTTTATTGAGAACATGTTGTGCTATAAGTTTAAGTTTTCCAACAATGGGAGTGAGATCTTCCATCTCTGCTATTGTCTTCATAAACATCACCTGAATGTAGATAAATATAATACAAATGTCAGCCAATCAGAGATACTGTTATGTTGTCATAACAATGAAACCTAATAATCAAACACAAGTTATTAAATTGTTACATAATTATACCAAAGTGTTTTTCTCATAGCTGAATTTTAGACTACAAATCATTTGTTGACGAGGCAATTTGTTGCAAACCTTAATGTAACAATAGAGGTATTAGAATTTTTTCCAGTCAACCTCTAAATCATGCAATCATTTTATATTACCAGCTTATACATTATGAAATTAAAAATGGCAGTTCAATTAAATAGCAACATTCTTTATTCCCCATCTATCCCCCATCAAAACTATCAGTCATACTGCACATACAGTATATCAATGCAATACCTGAGTCATGCCACTAAGTTGTTCCTTGAGTTGTCCACTGGGACTTAGATAGCTTGCTGCATGTGTCATAGCTAGAGCGTGACCCTGGTCAGCTATACTACCAGCCATATCTGCAGAACACATTCTCACCAGGGTTGTCAACCGATTCATGTCTGATAAATCTAAACTGAAAGAAAATATCAACTTATTAATTAAAGGGGTATAAAAACAGGGTGTTTCAAATATATCTTCAGAATGCAGATGTCTCAGGCAAACGTATTATACATCATTTTAAAGATACTACACTGAAAGAGGTGTCAATGATTTAGCTGATCTTTCATCTGATAAAACAATATAAAAATAGTCCCTTCCAATGATAAAATTGTAAACTTCCACTGTGAACACTTTCTGTGAGCAAATACTTTACAATGTACAATAGTCTTTGGTTATTTCCCCATTAAATGCATATTGTATACACACTGTCAATCCTCCAAGTTTTCTGAAAAGCTGTCAATTCTTTGGTAGTTAATTAATTACCTGTTAAATATTTGTCCCCAGAGGTTGAACATGGCTTCAATATTCTGATCCAGACAATGAGATGAAAACAAGATTCCCTGAAATTATAAGAATCTCAAGGTTTAAAACATCACATCAGTAAAAACATGGGATGTGGGTATTAAAATGCGATTCTAATTTAAGCTTTAAGCTTTGCCATAGTTGAACTGGTATTTTCTAGTAAATGCACAAAATATAAAAAATGTATGCTCCCACAGGTTTTTATGGCTTATTGTGGCTCATTGTACATATATTTCTAGTAGTTCTGTAAAAGAGTTACAGCAAATGTGTTTACATTACAAGTACCTGAGATTGCCATCACTTACCTGTTCATATATGTCAAGGTTAGAGTGATTGTCTGAGATAATGTTAGATGCTGACATGCCTCCAGTCTTCAACTCAATCTCTTGTGCCAAATCCTTGAAGTTTAGACCTCCAGCACCCATGCTGTAATGATATACAGAGAAGGGTCACTCAATGACAATGAAGATGACACCAATACTGCTTCAATCTTGTATGGGGAATTAAGTAATTTGAAAGCATAGACATACAACGCATTAACATGCAAAATGTCACCACCTGCCATTTGTCAAAGATGCCAACCGCCGAATTTCACAGTCAGAGATTCAGAGATGGAAAATTGTAAATTTCAGATGAGTCAAACGGTAACAAGTCAGTTGAACACTGGCATACTTGATTTAAACTAGTTTTAAATAGAGTCTCACATACATACCTAGTCACAACATTAGTAAACAGTTTCAAGAAGGGCCTCAGGTCTGCAGGTATAGACTGTGTGTCAACAACAGCTCTAAAGTATGTCACCCCATTGGTAGGTTGCTCACAAAGCTGCACAGGGACGCCATCTTTAAATAAAACATATACACTATACAGAGATTTGAAAAAGAACATGTCTTTTTGCTCTTTTTTCTAACAAATATATGTCTTGGTTACTTCATTCATTTATATCAGATGTCCTGAATACTGCATGTTTATTATATTCTTGTTTTCTTAGCCTTCTATTTAATTAAATTCTAAAACCAGTAAATCTAAATCAAACATCAAACTTTGTTGAACATCGTACCTGCACTTTCAATGTCAGTATGTACTCTTATAACATCTTTGTCTATGTCTGCCACCCTAAGAGTAGGAAGACAGGAGAGGTCTTCTTCAGCCATCTGAACCTTGGCTAACTCTAAACCTAATGATATAAATGAAATGATTTGTTATTTTATTAATATGTCAAAAAAGAAGTTCTACTCAGTTCAAATGATTTCATAATTGTGTTTTTCTATATATGCTGAACAAATCACCAAGCAACTGGCTCTAGGCCTAGCACTTCTGAGCTGGTGCTCATGTGGCACCCTGCTTAATACTAGTATAGTAAAGTACCTTTCTTATATATCTCTTCCTTGTCAGACTCAGATAGCTGACTGACAAGATAACTGAGTTTATTTTGTTCCTCTTCCTGACTCTTAGCCTCAAACTGCTCATCAGGGGTCATGGTCACAGTCAGAGTGTGCTTGTTGGACTACAATTGGAAATATAAAAGGTTGTAATGAAGGGGTCATGGTCACATTCAGAGTGTGCTTGTTGGACTACAATTAGAAATATGAAAAGTTATTATGAAGGGGTCATGGTCACAGTCAGAGTGTGCTTGTTGGACTACAATTGGAAATATGAAAAGTTATTATGAAGGGGTCATGGTCACAGTCAGAGTGTGCTTGTTGGACTACAATTGGAAATATGAAAAGTTACAATGAAGGGGTCATGGTCACAGTCAGAGTGTGCTTATTGGACTACAATTAGAAATATAAAAGGTTGCAATGAATCAAAATGTTAAAAAAGATTTGTTGTTAGGTGTTTTTCAAATGATTTATAAGTTCAATCGGGCATTTTGTGCTTTTTCACTAAATATACTTGTAGATCACTCCCTGACAATGCAACTCTAGGCTCTAGATTCTGAAGTGCCTATTAGCTTCAAAATTACAAATGTAGAATATGTAAATAAAAGAAATATTGTAGCCACAAACCTTATAGTAATAACTAAGCTACAAATACATTATGACTGAGACAGTTATACAAGGTATTATCAGTTCAATCTTAAGTCAGATATTAATTTCTGAGAACTCTGCACTCTGAGAACTTTTGAGAACTTGTAAATGATTTTGAAAAAGAAATTGGTTGCTTTGAAGCAAGTTGAAAAAAATACATTTTTGACCTTGAGAAGGTCATTGAAGGTCAAATCTTAAATCTAAAGTCAGATTTGTACTTGTAGATGATTTTGAAATATAACTGATCAATTTGAAGCAAGTTGAAAAATACCTTTTTGACCTTTTTTTACCTTTAGAAGGTCATTGAAGGTCAAATCTTAAACCTAGTCAGATTTGAACTTTTGATAACTTGTAGATGATTTTGAAAAAAATTGGTAAATTTGAAGCAAGTTCAAAAATGACCTCTTTGACCTTTTTAAACCTTTTTCATCTTGAAAAGGTCACTGAAGGCTAATTTTTAAAGCTAAAGTCAGATTTGAATTTCTGAAAACTTGTAGATGATTTTGAAAAACTGAAGTCAGTCATAAACAGTCTTTGTTAAGTTATTGGAAATTTTAAGAATCTGTTACAGACACCAAATTAACTGCCACCTGCCGATCGCCAACAACCAACCACCACCACAAAAAAAACAGACCATAACAATACACTTTTTGGTGGTGACATAAGCGATTACCTTTAAATATTGCTGAAGCTTGTCTTGAAGGAAACGAGGGTTATCTTCTAAACATTGTTTTAACCTAGTGACATGTTTGTTGATTTGTAACACTTCTATGGGGTCTCCATTGTGGTTCCAACTGCAAACAATACTCTACAATAAAAGAAACACATACGAGAAATAAACATACATAAACGCATGAACTCGTACATGCACTTGAGTTTTGAGGATAGAACAAAGCCTCATTGCCATTCACTCTTTCATTCCTTCAAATTTTCTGAACACAGGACTCCAGACACCATTACTGGGTATCATCTACTCTTTTCCTTCAGATAATAATACCTGGAGCCCCTCATTTGGACGATGACAATATCTGAATTCCGAGCCATTCTGTGACATTGCATTATGGGCACATTGTACTGCCTCCAGTACAGTACACTATCTAATACTTCGATTTTACTTTACATGAAGTAATATACTAAATGCATAACAAGTATAAGTACAATAAAAGTATGGGTACAATATGTACAATAATAATGTCATCTCTTACCATTCCAATATTAAAACCAAAGTTAGCACTTTGATGTTTTTGTCCCAATTCTATTCTGTGTAAAACTCCTTCAATTGCCTTCTCATCAAATCCATTCCTAATAAAAGACAAAAATATTTTTTTGAAACAATTCTCTCCATGCAATCCTTACATAAAGCAAGCAATTGAAATACCAATTGGAGTTGTTGAAATATTAATCAATGCTATCTCATACAATATACAAATGTGTAGGACTGTTATAAAAGTGAAAGTCGAAATATAAAAATACCAGTAGCAAATAAAAGATGGTTGAAGTTCAAAACCATACTTACAGTCTCCTTAGTTTTTAAGTGATATTCATTTTCCGGAAAAATGAATACAGCTGCTAAGAGCCATGTTTAATTTAAACTTACTTTATAACATCATCCAGTGTTGTTTCTACGATGTTACACACTTTATCAACATCTGTTTCTGCAATATTCTGTAACCCAACAGAGAAAGAAGACTCCTTGGTGTAACCATTATATCTAGAAAGAAATAATGGGTTTGAAGGTGTTGTCAAACTGGCTTAGAGGTCAAGTCAATGACATCTTGTCTCCTCAAAGACATAGGAGACAAGGCATTTGTTGACTTGGCTTTTTAATTGTGATTTTATATTTATGTAGAATATTTGAAATAAATATTTTTATTGCATATAATAAATTAATCGGAAACTATTATGACACATTTATTTGCAACAATTGTTAAGGCAACATATATTGCAAGAAGAGAAACATCACACAAGACTATTATAATAGCAAATTGTATATTTTCTGATCATATCAGATGGAAGCCTTTAATAATTTTTCTCATGGTAATGTTACCAACCCTATTACAGGTGAGTAGTCAGATCCTATGTTGGCCTCCAACAGTGACTGGTAAAAAGGTGATTTCTCCCCATGAACCAATAGATGGCACACTATGTTCAATGTAAATGCCTCAAATGTGTCCGTTATACTGGAAATATAATAAAAACATTTCATGAAGTGTTTTTGAATGAAGGCTGGGCTATATGTTGTGATGTTAGCAGGGAAGGGTACAATAGTTCTCTACGTTGATAAACTCTAAAATATAAGTGTATGCATTGGTACCACTATATATCCTCAACGGGACTATGAAACTATCTATGATTTTATATCTGATCAGTATATTCTAGAACTGGAAATACAAATCCTCATTTCTTTCAAAATCATTTATAAATGCTAGCAATCTCTTCATTCGAGAGGTCAACTTGTCAAAAGGCCTTGAAACACCAAATACCTAGATATGATCTCGAGATGACCTTGGACCATAACATTGACTCTGACCTCTTGTCACCTAATTTGTGAGTCATCAAGGGTCACAGTATCCTTCAAGTGCCTTAAATCACCAAATACTAAGATATCGACCTATGACCTTGCAATGACCTTGATCCAATTAGTATGTTGACCAAGTATGAGAGGCCAAGGTTAAATGATTTTCTGTATGAACATACTTTAGATGCTACAGGGGAATATGCTGAACATTTTAGTTATTTGCTCCAACCTAAACTTTGAACTATGATGCATCAGTTATAGCTGATCCTGATACATTAAATACTTTTTTAAACTGCCTGAGTACAACATACAATTTCACTATCTTCTTGATTGAATTTTAATGCAAATGTTAATATAATGTTTACCTTAGAAATAGGTGCATTAAGATTAGGACATGATGATTATTCATTAAAACCTCATTTATTACATAGAAAACAGTCACAATTTATCAACGATTTATTCAATGTTTGTGGCTTAATTGAAGAATAACTGAAGACTTACACTAGATTAGTGTGGTAAGTATTTGTGCATGTATCGTGTGTCCCCTAAAAATTTACCCAAATAAAATGGGAATAACTGTTTGTTCCTTCATCTTGATCTTTGATCAAAACAATGTCACCACATTGGAGACCATAACAATATGTCACCACTTGTAATTGTGACATAAAAATCATTTTCAGTTAACAGTTAAAAATTCATAGAACGTTGTGAATTACCTACTGAGATATTTATATTTGACATTTTAGATGGCATATTCTAAATGACCGTCATCACGATCATTGCAGAGCTGAGTGCAATTAGTTCTCTTTGCTATAAAATATCTACATTTTATTGAACTCCTTTTTAATGTGATCTTTTTGAAGTCTGAGCCAAAGGTAGCATCAGGCTAATATGAGCATGATCACATTAAAGTGGTTATTCGGATTAATTCAACAATATAAAACAAATCATACCCATATCGCCATAACATTGAACTTGGAATCACCAGTAATTATTAGAATGTAAGAGGCATTTATCCAAAACTGACTATCTAAACCCTTTGTGTCAAAAATGGTATGATGCAACAATCTTCCACCATTTTTATCTGCCATTTGTTACAGACACTGAATGCCAAACACCAACTGCCGAATACCAGACACCAAAAACACTCCACAAAAAGGTTGGAGACTTCAACAATATGTCATCATTTCTGATGGTTACATAAAAACCTTCTGTGTTTTTCACCTTACTCATTCAAAACTGATTACATGATTACACTGATATGTTTGAATTAAATAACCAGAGGAATTTAGCATAAAGTCCCTTATCATATATTAAATCAATCTCTCTTTTACAGATATTTCTGACTTATGCTTGAAATCAAAATTAAAAAAGATCTTAAAATCTTCAATCAATTTTTATTTTTGTAGATAGCGTTAGATGTGAAAAATAATAATCCAAAGTCATATCTAAATCTCTTTTTAAGAATTAACAATTATATACCAATGTAAACAGATAAAATGTTATCAATAAATTAAGGATAATTGTTGACAAACATATGATGATCAATTGAGATCACTTTGAACGACGATTTTCACTGGTATACATGTATACTGAATTTTCAACATTATTAACCTCTTGACTACACAGTGTGACAATTTCTCGTCACCTAAGAAATGGCCTTAAAACCTAGAGTGACAAGATAATCTGTCACAAAATTCTTTTACTAAAATTGCTCTAATTTGAACAATTTTCATGCAATTTATACCAAAATGTCTTAATATGTGTAGAAATGATCTTTGTATCATATCAATTTGAATGATTCTTTCATACCATTGCTTTAACTGTAAACCTGAGTTTAGTTTATTGACTCAAGTCATTTTTGATAAGGACTGAAAACATTGAGAAAACACTGAATTCAATGTTTTACATTGTAAATACCAAGGACTGCATATTAATATAAATTAATAATTGATAAATTAAAAAAAGTTACCCTTACAGAAAAAATGAGCAATAATATTGCTGAAATGATGTAAGAAAGCATTCATGGATTAAAAATAGAGTGTGTAGAAATTTAAAAAAAACAATGTTTAATCAAATAACATCATGACTGCTATGTATTCAGTCAGTGCCTAGAACATCTTGGTAATCTAATTATAAGATAAGAATCAGTTACTAAAGGTAAGGCTAAAAACTACTTCACTTATCAAGTTGACATTACAGGGTTAGATATGTACTAGTAACTTGCTTTTATTTATCAATTAAATTTCTAAGCAGGGGTGGCACCACATCCAGAGCCTTAATGGGTAATTAAATGATCATCAAAAGATAATCATCACTAAGAAGATAGATATAAATATGGCCTTCACAAGGTAAGTATCTCATTCAATATCAAAAACAAACAAAACTTTAAATTAAAATAACAATCACAGAAAAACTTTTATCGCTGAACAATCTAGGAAAATATCTTAAATTAGGATTGCAGTCTTGATCTATCAGCTGAACACCAAACATTCTTTACATGGAATTAAAGACAATTTAATTCGATGCAAATAGAGGCATGTACTCTCTTTCTATAATGGGAGAATAATTCAATTCTTTTACAATCTATCACAATCAATGTCAACCAAAAAACTTGCTGAAAGATAAAGATAAGCCAAGATAAACATGTTTTACTGCACATCTGCTTCAGTCGAAGACATCTTTACAAGGTGAGCACTTATATATTCTGATTTCTTGCAATTCACTATCAACAAGATTAAGATTTTTTCTAAATGAGCACTTTTGGCAAAATTGTACAGTTCCACAAAATTGTCAAAGTATTGTAAATAAATAAGAATATGCTTTAAAACTTTTTAATGAAAAGATGTTGATTATGCAAAGTGCATGTTCAACTGTTGTTATACAGTGGAGCTAATTCTGTGGTTTTAGTAATTTATGTAATTTCTATATCATGATTTGATTTATTCATAGACCTATTAAATTTACTTTGTTTCAGTGGTTTCATTGAGATGTTTCCAGTGATGGATCGGGAAGCAGAGTTGATAGCACATCGTTACAGAACACTGTACAATGAGGAAAAAATGTCAGACATAAAGTAAGGACTTTATTCATCCATTTCCTTATTAGGGCATTTTTCATTTCTATTTTTTAATGAATCAACTTTAATATCTCCCCCTGAAATATGCTCATGAATTGGTATGAGATTGTAAATATGTATAAATGTTATAAAAACTGTCATTACAAAATATTGTTCATGCGCATGCAGAACATTTAATAATTTGGGGTTCTGTGCCTAGAACCAGAATCAAATGTAGGATACGATGCAAAATATAATATGGGAAATCAAAATGCAAAAGAACATATACAGTAATTGCCTCAAAGTGATGATAAAATTGGATAACACATAAATTAATTACATTTGGATTTTATTCTTCACTTCAGGTTTACTTGTGGTGAAGACCCCTTGAAGCAAGTGATATATGGCCACAAGTTAATATTGGGAGCAGCCAGCGATGTATTTGAAAGGATGTTTTATGGTGGTTTGAAGGAGTCTCAGGGTATCATCCACATTCCAGATATAAGCAGAGATGACTTCCTAGAGATTCTCAGGTAGCCCTTTAAATTTCAATAAAACAATGTGTCTAATGCTACTTTAAACAAGTCTAGAATCAGAAGAAATATTGCATTTCTATTCTCTTAGTAGTTGGCGGTGACACCTATACTTTTTCACAATAAAAACTATAAACAAATCACAGCCAAACTTTAGAAATGTAGCGCCCACATTTCACTGATCATTCTTGCAGATATATCTACTGTGGGGAAGTCCAACTTACAGCTGAGAATGTTCTAGAGATATTACATGGAGCAAGGAAATACCTTGTGGCCAACCTTGAGAAGCAGTGCTGGAGATACCTCAACGACAACCTGTGTGTTGAGAATGCATGCATGCTCCTAGAAGTTGCCATTAAATTTGATGAGGACAAACTCAAGTCAAAATGCTTGAGAGTGATACGCCAGAAAACAGATGAAATTATCAAAACTGAGAGCTTTTTCAGGATTTCCCAAAATGCGTTGAATATGATTTTACAGCTTAATGTACTCAATATGGCATCAGAAATTGATGTATTTCGGTTTGTTGTCAGATGGGCAGAAGATCGATGCGAAGAGTTAAACTCTTCAAAAGATGGCGCCACAATGAGAGAAACAATAGGGGATGCATTATATAATCTGAGACTTTTAGAAATTTCTACCTCTGACTTAGGATGTATAGTTGCTCCAACAGGAATACTGCAGCCCCAGGAAGTTGTAGATCTTCTGATATACATAACTGCTGGGAGCAAAAACCATGATAAGCTGACCAAGTTCTCGAAAGAAAAGCGGAAATATACCATTGAGATTGAACAGACTCATAATAACTTAAAAATTGAAGACTCTAAATCTACTATGAAAAGTCGAAGAATATTTGGACGTCGCAAGAGTTCAAGTTCCAATATGAAAGCAGAACATTGGTAGATTCAAATACAAGATAGACAGCACTTAGCAGTAATATGTTCATCAATGGCTAATTCTTTGTAAAATATGACAGAAATATGAAATGTTTTTGCTACCCTGTTAACTTTCTCTATTAATTGAATGAACTGTAAGTGTGTTTTGTAAGATAGCTAAACACTTTTTATGTACATATACATTACACAAGTCTTTTAAAACAACTTGAAACAGCAACTCCCAGGAGAAGCAAATAACAAAACACATTATATCAAAGCAATCATTGTTTTACAATATAGTACTATGATACAAAAAAACAAGTAGCAGTTTTGTCCCATTTTTGGATCTACATCCATGGACATGATGCCATATTAAAAATTCTTAGTAGATGTCCGATGACCATAAGGCATTAGCCTATCAGGTCCAAAGTTAATAACTGGTATTTGCGTTATAGGAAAAATTTCTTCTGAAAAATGGTGCTCATTTTGAATTTAGCAGCCATCTTTAAAATTTCTTCTAAAGCAGAGTCCTAAACCCATAAGGCATAAGCAAATCAAAATCTGAACCAAATCTGACGACTTGCATTTGAGTAATCAAAAAAAACATTTATTTACGAAAAACTGCCAATCATTTTGAACTGAGCAGCCATATTGAATTTCCTTTTGGAACAGAGGTCCTTTTCCCATAAAACTTGAATTAGCTTATTAAATTTGAACCAAATCAATATATCTAAATTATCATGAAAAATGGTGGCCTTTTTGAATTAAGAGACCATTTTGAAAATTTCCTCTTTAACAGAGGTATAAACTAGTATTCAGCAATGATTATACCATTAAACAAGACAAGAACAGGACAAAATGTCACAACCTGGTTGAAAATTACACAAGTGTACCAAATTCAGATGCTGAAAACGAATGCCAAATGTTGGTCACAAAAAATGTCACTGTAACAATATGTCATGACTTTTTGGTGAGGTGAGAGAAAATGATTTAAACTTACTCTCCTAGCAGATAGTTCACAGCAACAGTTGTCTGTTTTTCTGGATCTGGTGCCATTGGGTCAGGACGACATGTTATCCTAGCCTCTCTCTGAAGTAAAACAGAAGATCACATTTGATATAATATACTCTTTGCATTCTGTGGAACTAAAATAATCTAGCTTAACACAGAGTCTAGTGACAAAGTAATGTAGACGAAGTCTAACTAATGCAAAGGCTAGAAAGAGCATTGATAGATGAGTATAAAAGTGGGACGGAGGATGAGTCAATTTGCGAAACAGCCAAGAAAAGGTGCTTATCTTTGGCCGATTCGTCTATTCATTTACATAACCCAAATAACAAATTGCTATAAATATGAATAAAGGTTTACCATTTCTGACCATCTTGGCTCAGATGGAACTTCAGTCTTTGGGTCAATCTTGTTAAAATGTTGTAAATATCCCTCATTTATGGCCTTTAGATGGTGCTCAAGAGACATATCTCCATATGTGTAAAACCTGTAACATTTATGACAAAGAATGAAATTAGTGAACAACAAAAGATATCTGCTTATCAGTTTCTGAATGTACAATAATTCAAAGTTTTCGAACCAAACTGACATATAGATGGAAGTACAAGTGTTAGGTGAGCATATTATATTCGTTCATGTACATGTATTCATATAAAATATGATAAATATTCTGTGAGTTCAGTATTAGCTTATTCAGTTTATGGTTCATTGGATGTTCTGGTTCATAATGTGGAACTCATTTGATCAAAGAGATGCAATCTAAAAAAATTAAATAAACCCAAAAAATAATGATAAATGCCCTGATTGTTCAATTAAAATCTCAAATAGAGGAAGGTGTGTTTACCTGGAGTTACTAGGGTGATAATGTGAGGCATGGAAGTCTTTCAGGTGTGACCAGGTAAGATCAGGTATATGTATTGGATCCCCTCCACTAACTACGCTGTATGTATGGCTTGGCATCAAGTGATTCTGCACTGCTTCACAGAATAAATGTTGTGGATTAGACTGGAAATATATGTACGATATGGTAAGTAGATTTAAGACACTTTTCACTTTTATTAAGTTCATCTCCTGGGAAGGGACTGTCCGGTTGTGTATGAATGCAGTTGATTTTGTTAGGGGAGGGGTAAATGATATTTCATTAATGAAGAAAGTTGATTTTTTTTAAAACTTCCTTTGAAAGACATAATAATACTCAACAATTTCAAGTTTTGTTAAATGGGGGTTGGAATCATTCAATAATGAAATTAACTTAATATTTTAACAAGTTTGGACAACTGAACACCCAATCTCAATGTTGTACTTAAAATGTATTATAAATCAAATAAATTGATTAATGCCTTGTAAATATGTTGATTTTCTAAAATATGCTGGGAAAGATGAAAATCATTTGACAAGGGGGGTTCACTTTACAGAAAATTCAAGAGGGTTCACGACAAAGGACAGGTGGCGGTAAACCCTTCTTTTAGCCCCCCTACAAAACAAGTATATATTGACATGGAATTGAAGAGGAAGTATGACTTATTACTTAAAATGTGATTTCTGAGAATTTTGACATTTGACCTTGACATTAGGGTGGTTTGAAGGTTAACTTTGAGAGATGCTATTTTTGTCAAAATTTTGCCATTTTCTAATACAAGAAATGAAAGCAATTGGCTTTATTTTGATTGTGACTGATAATAAGACATGTGAATGGAAATAAAAATGTTCTTCATAAATTCTCACGGGCAATTACAAGAAAATCTTGAGAATAAATCCCCATATGGGCATTTTTAGGGGGACTAAATGTTCCTGTTTCAAAAATGAATGTTCTTGTTGCCTTTTGAGACTCCAACAGTATCCTAAGCATGTTTTAAGAGTTGGGATGTGATTATTGTTTTAATGCCCATGGGCAATAAGGATAAAATGACTGCAATTAAATGCACACAAGGACACTTCCATGAGAATGGATTTTCTTATTTCAGTTGCTTCTCACCAGTTTTCTAAACATGTTTGCCATATTTTAAGTAGTTATAGGGTCACTTTTAATAAATGCCCATTGGCATTTGCTTTGGAATCTGAAATTAAATGTCTGTATGGACACTTAATTTTAAAGTTACTTGCCAATTTGCAGTTCCCATATTTGAAACACAAATAATTCAGAGAAATCCTCTTTCAATATATATCATAAAATATAAGGCAGCATCATGTATAAATGGCATGACACTCAAAGGATTGCTTAAAATTCTCTACTTATACACTATTTAGAAAAACTCTTAGGCCATTCAAAGATGTTTTTATAATTAATGTCACTAAATTCTATGTTTTCAGAAAAAACAAAATGTTCCCATGTACTCTGTACTTGTAATGCATATAAATGACAAAGGGGATTGTGATCTTGGATTATATTGTAGTGAAATGAGTTCCAGATTGATTAAAAACTATGTGTATATAGGCTTCAGTATTGTCTTCATTAACAAGGTCATCTGAATCAAGAGGTATGTTACTTGCCTTCCCACAGTGTGTTATTGCATTTTCGCTATTAAAAAATATATAAAACCCTTTAAATAAATAAAGGTTTTGTAGTTTTTAATATAAGGCCATTCATCAGAATGCCAACATATAATTAATTTTGAATGGCCTTATCTGTACATGCAATTATGTAGTGTACATGTATGCCCAGGTTAGCAGCCATATTGAAAACATAAACCAGTCAGCCTTATTTTCATCACAAAATTTAAGTTTTAGTGGTGAGCCCACACTCCCACAAGAATGATATTTGCAGGGAAGCTACTTCACAGTCTACGCATTATACACTTTTCAATATCTTTTTTGTGGGAGTTTGGGCTGATGGTTAAATTTTCAATGAAAGGGAATGAGCAAGATGCTTAAACTTGATGACAAAGTGAACAAAAATGACAATGTTTTCCAGATTTGCAGTAGTAAACTTCATATATAGCTGGATTTTGTTAATGTTCTACTCCGAATGCTTGTATGGTATATGTTCCATATAATAAATTCTATATAATGATAAGTTTTGATATTATTTTGATGGTAAACATAGTGTGTACCCATATTCAGACAGTCTTGTGATAGGGGTTCTTACTGCCAATTTTTCAAAGAATCTGAAAACTAATGCCACTTTTTGAAATTGCACATTTCAAGAAAAAGGGTTTATCTACAACTTGCAATTGGTTTTAAAAGTAAATGGAAGAATGAGTTTTTTGGAAAAAATCTTAGTGGACCAATAGTCTGTTAAATGGACCTGTTCTTTGGCCCAAAATCACATGAAAAATGCTCAAAATTTTGGCTGGCACTCCAGTTACACCCTGATGGAAATGCCAAGTCGCAACATAGTGATCCATGTACATATAATGTACTTACAAATACTCCTTTCATTTCATTGAAGACAACACCTTTGAAGACAATGGGAGAACTTGGATCATCTGTAATCTCATGTTCTAATCTCCATCCTTCCTGGCTGAAATAATGTAATACAATAGAGTACAATACAATACAATATATTACAATGCAATACAACAATACAATACAACAGAGTACAATACAATACAATGTAATACAATGAAAGGATGATCTGAGACTTGAACAGAGAGGTATTTGTAATAAAGGAATGGATTACAATGTCAAAATGTTGAACAACAAAAAGGTGCATATCTGAGTACATTTTACTGCAAACTGTCCTTGTGTATGTTTACAATCTTTTTCTATCTCTATTCATAGGTGATAATTCAATTCATTAGACAAATGAAAGGAAAGTGTTTATACGTCAAGTAACCCTGTACATACACATGGTAATTGTACCTACCAGAAATCAAGTTCTCGTAGTCTAGGCTTGAAGACAGCATCAAGGTATATAGATAGAAGGTTCTGGAAATCCTGTTCATTTTGAGTGGAGAAAGGATACATCGTCCAATCTGATGCTGAAAGTTGAAATGAACATTCATCTTCAAAAACTGTATCATGTATTACTTTTGCTCAACTAATAGGTTGGTGCAAACTCTAATCACTCCAAAAAAGATTTTACTTCTGAACTCAGAATTCCAGAGATGAGAGTGAAATTATAGACTCAACATGTTAGTCAAATTAATGATAATCACAATTAGTTAACATACATACTAAACATACCTGTGAATGCATTCATGAATGTTGACATAGACCTGTTTAGCATTTTGAAAAATGGGTCCCTGACAGGGAACTTTTCTGAGCCACACAGTGTCGTATGCTCCAATATATGAGGCACTCCTGTGCTATCCATGGGGGTTGTGCGGAATGCCACGCTGAAAATGCAAGATTCAGATATATGTAAAATGGTAGATCACATTGGAGGTACATGTAAGGTTGTATGATCTAACTGAAATTTATGAAAATATCTGACAATAATTGATCAAGAAAGATGTGAAACATTGCACAGAAATATGTGTTATCTCTGAAATCATCATGAAAGATTCCCAGCTAGTTACAACATAGCTTTGGTTACAGCCATAATCTTACAAGTGTAATCGAGCAACCATAGCCTAACAACCATCTGACAACCATAATCAAGCAAGAATAAATCTGAAAATCATAGTCCCACAACCATAAATCTGAAAACCATAATTTGATAACCATAATTCTGACAACCATAAATATCTCAACCATAATTCCAACAACCACTATTTTAAAACTGGAGCTTACAAATTACCTGAAGACATTATTAGTGTCATCCCTAGCAACGTGAAAATGTTTGGCTCCAGTCCTGTCATGTGTAAGCATTACCGCAGTAAGATGAAGCTCTGGTACTGGAACCACCTACAAATATCATGTCATAAGATATTACAATGGTGGTCAAATCTTTTAAAAAAGAAACTTGTAAAAGAAACAAATATTTAAGTAAATAAGCTCATAATCATCAGTTCATGCTTATTTAAATGCAATAAAATGCATCTACATTTTCTATTTAAATCAATTTAAAAAATGTAACAGAACATTTATGACAATCATATTTCTCCAGTACATGTACCTCTTGAACTGTGTATCCATGTAGAGCACTACCAGGTTTGAACAAATCCAGGTTAATCTGGCCATTGTTAACTGCAGTAGCAGCAGCTGCTTCTGGCCTTGTACTCTTATATCTCCTACATAATACTTTTGCACATCTACAAATATACAATAAACATATTCAGATTGCCAGTAAATTAGCAAATAAGATAAACCCCCATCGTTTTGCTTTGTACATTAAGAGAAGGAACCTGCCAATGTTCACTTTGTTAAGACTTACATTTGAAAATGACTTCTCTGAAGCTGGTGTGAAGATTTACAGTTTCATTTACAAAGCAAAGAATTTAAGAGTATCTGGCTATAAGCACGAGGTTAGATCTTTGGCGGGACAATCAGTCAAAACTGTACATGCAGGCCTTTTTCTCAGTTAAAGTCCAAAAAATATCAAAATCAACCTCACATTTATGGGGGTACACTGCACTTCCATAGTGAGCAGAAGCCACCCTTATGTTATCTATAGGTTACACCAAGTGCTGATAGAAGTTTGAAACAAGGCATTAACATGACAAAATGTCACCACCTAGTTGCTCACAATATTATGAGTTCAATCTTAAGTCAGATTTTAATTTGTAGTCGATTTTGAAAAAATAAATTGGTCAATTTGAAGCAAGATGAAAAAAGACCTTTTGACCTTGAGAAGGTCATTGAAGGTCAAATCTTTTTTGACCTTGAGAATGTCATTTAACGTCAAATCAAATATAAAATCAGATTTGAACTTCTTAAAACTTGGCCAACCGCCGACCACCGCAAAAAAAGGAGACCAAAACAATATGCCACCACTTTTAGGTGGAGACATGAAAATAAAAAACAGAGTATTGCCTTGTTATGTTTACAAGATTCTCCTGATATGGACCAAATCTGAGAATTTAGAATTGATCCGTGCTCCGCCTGTCGTGAATGAATAGGCTAATCTAAAGGATTTCGTAATTACAAGTTCAAATGTCACCTTTTTTAATATTTTCCCGCTTCAGATTTTGTATTGCCAGATTTGGTCTTATTCCATAACAAAAAAATTCAAAACATATAAGAGGTGATCGTGATATTAGTATAAACATTTTGATTGTGCTGATTATGAATTAATAGCCATGTTAATCTTTTGGAAAATACTATGGCAGAGAAGCATCAAAATATAAGAGGCCACATACATTATTAGCCAAACTAGAAGCAATCCAAGATATACAAATGTCATTTATGTACAATTGGAATATATTTTTCCATATATTCAAACAAACAAACCATAATATATTATTGCACAATGATCTTTTGATTTCTTATTTTTTTAGGCTTTACTGAGGAAATGAAACAATGAAATGGGCTGTAGATCTAAATGGTCCTGCCTTGAGTAAGGGCAATCTACAACTGATTTGGTTCGGTTATGGAACTGATTCGGTTCATTTCCACGCATGCGCAAAATAAAAGGTGTTTCCCATGATACCTTTCGATTGGTACATCCTTCCATTACATGTAGTTCAGTGAACAGTATGAATTACGGGATCATCCTTACATGGACACCCATGATCCTAGGTAGTTGCTTCAAATCTACCATTGTCCATTCACTTTTACACTGGACCTTTACATCTAAAATCAATACTAGTCACATTTATTTGTTGAATATTAAAGTCATCCTCCGATCACAGGGCTTCAAAATCCAGAATATATTCTTTCTTTTTACCCCCTGCGATAAGCAGTTAGCATTTCCTCAATTAAGAACTCGCAATCTGATTGGCTGTCGCAACACTGCGACAGAAATCATGTATAAGTCATTGCGCATAATTAGATCACGCGATTCAGTTAAATCAGGCGCTTCCAAATTGGTTATAGCAGGGGGAAGAAGAAGGTACGATTCTGGATACGTTCTTAGGAGGATGTATTAAAGTATGATAGTGTATTTCTGTATGGGCGAAACATATGTAAATGAAAGGAAATTTCTTTACATAGAGGGGCAAAACGGCCCAAACTCGGAGCGTAATGCCCCCTGGATAAATGCTATCGTGGTTTTTCCAATGACCATTGTGCGTGTATCATATAAGATCAACCAATCGCATTTGAGATGCGCAGAAAATATACACAGAGAACCGAATCAAAGAGCCTATGGAAAGGGGGTTTTGTCATGTAATCATGTCAGGTGGTAAAGCGTTTTCACGTCACACATTACTAATCAGAATTACTTTCACGTTTAACATCCTTGATCATCAAAATACATGTATTACATTCACAATTCACGAAGATCAAATATCATTACATTTACGTTTCACGGGCGTTAAATAAATCGCTAAACCGTCCAATGGCGAAATTATACTTTTGATGTTGTTTTTTTGTTTTCTCAAGGTCATCGTCAATGAAACGTTTGGGAAGCCTGGCTTTCAGTTGTTTTCTTTGACTAGTTTGTTTACTTTGTATAATAATAACTAAATTAAACACCGGTTCAGCGAAATCACTCTCCATTTTGCTTGCAAGACTTGCAAAGTCCAGACGATGGTCACATAGTCCAGATATCTTAGTATATCAGGTCGATATTTGTATTCGCCAGATTGGCTTGCTATTGGTTGAATTTCTACTAAGTCGTTATTCTCGACCAATCAAAATAGAAGAAAAGAAATTAAAATATTAAAATATCCCGATAGTACACCTCTCTTATGTTAATCTTTGTCGCGTTTTGTAACTGGTGCTCTGATTGGCTAAAAATAGAAAAGTTTAGAAATAGAAACAAATAAATTACATTTAGTTTACAAAGTCGACAAATAATATGTATCACAAAAGCGAACGTAGGATCAAATGTTTTCATGGTATTCTCGCCGAACGAAGTTTCATTTATTCTGAAAACGTAGCACGAAATAACGAGACTGAACGGCGTCACGGAGGTCTCATAATTCAAAATACGATGCTCGAGGCAATGTTTATTGACTTCACGATGCACTGGGTTAACTTCATGAACATCTGCACAGGCCTGCAGGACTTGCATTCAATCAAAATCCACTAAAACGCTGCACGCCCAAACGCTTTCCATATCCTCATCAAAGAACCGAATCAGATGTAGATTGCCCTTAGTGCCTGCCTTGGCTTGGGGATGATGAAAACAGTTCATTTTTTCTAGGCTATAAAAAGTGTCATAAAAATCTATGGTTATCCATAATTGTGCTCACCTGTTCAGAACTCTCAAGTACTGTCGGCAGTTGTTCATGTGCATCACGTCCTCTTGCCCATACAGACTAAATCCGAGTTATAAATAAAAAATTAAAAAGATAATTTTTTTGCATGAATTTTTCAAAAGTCAACTTGCACTTTGAGAAACGAAAATGAATAAATGAACTCTGCTATATCCGTATATTAAAGCCTGTTGAACTTAAAAAAATACACAATATAAATTTATATTATATTTTATTCAATAATTACTGCTGCTTACATTTAATTTGTGATCAGTCTTTTGAATTTCATTTGAAACTTTCCTGAACAAGTTTGACACACAACCGGAAGTGCTATGAGTATGGAATTTTAAAATTTAAAATTTTTATGAAATCTTGCGATATTGTCTAATATGTCGAATTAACCGAGAAAATACATTCAAAAATAGTTCTTCTACGTGTCATATTTAACATTAGACCGATTTTCTTGAATAGACAGAGTTATAGATCTCAGGCTGTCATGCATTATTCACGGGCTGTCATTCCAACATGAACATGTATCAACACCGGCTTGACAAGGATCAAGACGTCATCGTCATGAAGGTAATTTCAGAAAACAATATTGATATTTTCATAAAAATAATATTCAGCTTTATCACGACCATTGGCCATTATCCAGTTTATAATCAGTCTGAGTCAGATAGAGCGATGTAGGCTATATGTTAGAAAGCTACCCGGGGAAAGCTATAGCACAGATGGCGGCCAGATCATTTTGGAGTGGATCATAGGCTCAAAGAATAAGCTTAAAGATGAGACACCTAATTGGAAAATTTCAAAAAAAGTTTCCACGCATCCTGCCGTGACAGATCTTGCACTTAATTTAAAGCTGAGCGATCTATATCTTTCTTTTTCTACCAATTTAGTTCGAGTAAATAAGCCATAGACGCTCGAATTTAACTTTTACTACGTCAAATATTACTGAGTTGTTCCGGGAGCCTGTGTGTCACTGTCAAAATATCATTGTAATGCTGACGTCACATTTCTGGAATCACAGAATCACCATTCAGATTTGGACAGACAACAGGGGTTTTAAATTTCGCAGATTTAAAAAGTTTAAATTCCATTATTTTCTGAATCCTCAAGCTCTGTAAACTAATTTAACCTATCTACATTAATTACACCTACCCAATGTCATATTTGGATAAGATTTACAATTTCTAGATCTTAGTCGATGGCATGTCACACCTCAGCCTTTGATTGGGGAAATTCGGGACGATTTATCACAATCGCGAAAGCGCAAAACTAAATCGCACGCTTAAAATACTGGGAGTATTTCTGAAATGGCTGCACATTCCTCATTTTGAAATTTCTTGCAAGTGACTGATCTAGAGGCTATTTTATTGAGCTTCCGATCCTGATACAAAAGAATCCTGCCGGAATCTTTGAGAAGGAGCTCCTAGTCAAGACCGAAAATCCACCAACCCTTTTTTAAACGTTACAAAATTGTTATTTATCTTTGCCTGCTAGCCTTCATATTCGCCCTGTTTGTTGAAAACATATTCCATAGACTAGAAATTAGCATAAAACTGGATTTACTGGATGGATACAATATTTTGATGGTTGAAGTGGACCTTCTTTTCAGACAACAAAAGTATGATTGGACTCGAAAAAATAAATCAAGATTTCCTTACCTTTCATTCATATATCACTAGTTTCAGCACAAGCAACAACCTGACAATTGCAGAGATGCTTCAACTTCTTTTGAATGCATATGCAACTGATTTATTGTGTTTTACTTCGTTTGTAGTTTGTAATTTGCAATGTTTTTTGTAAATTTTCAATTAAGTGAAAATGAGGCTGATTCAGGGTTGTCTGTTTAGAAAGTCTAGAGTATTGTAACTGCAAAAAACTACCATTTTATCATCTAAAAACAGTGCCATCATTCATGCCACTTTTAGCCAAATTATGTCTATACTGTGACAGAAAAAAATTTGGAGGGTCAAAATTTTTATGTCCCGCCAAAAATGGCGACATGACATTTAGCACACAGCGTTTAGAAATGTGTGTGAATTGAAATTGAGACCTTCAGATCCAAAGCATGATTCTCCACTGACCCATGGGCTTTCAAGATGGGCTTTCAAGGGTGATTCCCTCAGATTTCAATGTGTTACCATTACCAATCTATAACATTTCAGTATGTTCCTACAAAAATACCATTACTACAAGTGTGATTGTCGATTTAGTTTTTGTAACCCTATTTTTTGTCCTCATTTATTTTAGAAACCCGATTTTCTCCTGATTTTTGTAGAAATCCTGATTTTTCCTAATTTTTCAGAAAATGCACCCTAACTTTCACCCCAATTTTTTCCAAACAACCCAGATTTTTACAAAAAGATTCAGAGTTTTTCCTAGTTTTTCAAATTATCAATTTAGTTTTGATAACCCCAATTTTCTTGCATGATTTTTTTTTAGAAATTCTGATTTTCTCCTGATTTTTCAGAAAATGAACTCTATTCTCATCAGACATAATGTAATATCTTGACTGATCAAAATGAGAAAAGAGAAAGCCTGGATTGTTGATAAACAATAAAAATTTCAATGATGTATTGGTTTTCAAAGGGCAATTTCCCTTCGCAAATTGTCTCGGGAGATTGAGCCTTTTAAGTTATTATGACAAATTGGTCCATGGTGAAATTGCTCTTTTGTCTTGTTATTAAATTGCAATTTGTAAACATTGAGTGAACCATTGCTGAATATATTGTACGGGAAATAAGGTTGGACAATATCTTGACTTGTTAAAAGGTATTTTTAAAGAAAGGCAATAGAAATAGTATGGCGGGACTAATGAGTGGGTTGATATAAAATTTTACCCAGAGGTTTCAAAGTATGTTCAAATTGTCACTAGATGGCTTTGTCAGCTACATGTATGTTTGGTCTATTTCGGTTTATTCAGTTTAGTTCAGTTTAGAGCTAAATTGTAACATTCCACCATAAAGTCATTTTCTCTCTGTATGGTCTTAATTACAATTATTCTTTGAGTTCTTGTCTGTCCCCTATATACCTCACCTTATAGAAACGATATCATCATTGTATTGTTCACTATATACTATTGTCCTTTCGAGATCAAATAATCCCAGTGTTCTCACAAAAACAACTTCAGAAAGATGGCATGAGGGAGTTTACTTAGGACATAACAGTGGTGGGTATTATGTTTAAAGAACTGACATAGAAACTGATTTGTATGCAAAAACAAATTTGAATTAATGATTTTGACACCCTTTATGAAATTTGAGATTAGTGACACAAGAGGTGTTTGACTATGTATATATAACTTTTATTGACATATAGTATCATAACATGATTACATTAGTCAGAACTATGGTAGACTACATATCTAAACTACAAAACACCAACTAAACTAAAAATACAAAAAATATATAAAAATATATAAGGTAACAATAATAGTGTGGTGCACACACAATGCATTATGACCATGCTAAATTCTTAAATGAATGGTAAATGAATTTGCCAATACAGTAAAACCTGTATATCTGAACACCTGGCTAATCCGAACACCTTCCAATTTGAACACTTTTTTTCGGTCCCATTTTTTCCTCTCATTGACTCCCATGTTAAAAAACCCTTGAAATCTGAACACCTCCTAATCTGAACAGTGAACAATCAGATTTGAAAAACTGACCTGTCTAATCTGAACATTTTATCAGAAATCAAATGTCTGGACATTTCAATAATAGCCACATATTGAGTCAATGTTATAGTTCTTATTATCTTTACATATGCAATGTAATCAAAGAACCAATGTTGTCCTAATTAACTTATTTAAGTCTCAATGACATCCCTAATTGTGGAAAACAACAGGAAAGGTGTGAATACGGGAGTTAATTGGTTTATCCTATTAGAAAAGAACTGAATGTTTTATGTTTGGATTAAGCGAAAGGTGTGAATCAAGAAGATAATTGGTTTATCCTTATTTTAAATTAACTGGATGTTTTTGATTTGGATTATGAACAAGTCTTAACTGTTTTATATCCCATGAGTCTGTTATGATAGCTAGGATTCAATCAGTAAATGTTTTATAATCACAGAGACAACACAGACACATTTGCAGACAAGATTATAATTGTTTTATCATTATTAGAAATTACCTGGATGTTTTTGATTTGGATTAAGAGAAAGGTGAGAATCTGGGAGATAATTGGTTTATCCTTATTTTAAATTAACTGGATGTTTTTGATTTGGATTATGAACAAGTCTTAACTGTTTTATATCCCATGGGTCTGTTATGATAGCTAGGATTCAATCAGTAAATGTTTTATAATCACAAAGACAACACAGACACATTTGCAGACAAGATTATATCATGAGAAAGAGAAAAATTCAACTTCGTAATATCCTATCACTAAAATGCCTCCTAAAAAGGCACATCTGACATACTGAATGCCCTTAATATTTTGAAAGATTATGCATCATCTCGAATGAAAAATTCTTTTTATTAATTGAAGAGGGTATCTACTCAAATATTGCTAATGCTAAAAGTGCCAAGAAACAAACAACAATGAACGACCTAAAGCTAAAGTAATGCAGTGCTATGTAACCATAATATGAGATAAGTCATTTAATAAGCATAAGATTTCGTACAAGACTATCATATACTTATTCAGTGTATTACAACGTTTTTTCCAAAAATAATGAAATTGTTCAAAATGTAAATAAAATATAGCATATACATGTAGGCTATAGGCCTATTGTAGAATAAACTCATCAACAACATGTATTGTTTTCTGACTAAGTATTAAGTGTTCAATATAGTGGACTGAACAATGAAAATCCCCCTCCCCCGACCAACAATATCCTCGAAATTTGAACACCTGCCAATTTGAACGCTTTTGGCTGGTCCCATGGGTGTTCGGATTAGACAGGTTTTACTGTATGTCTTTGCAAGGTTACATTTTTACTAGAAATAAGATTGACAAATAAATTTTCACTTTGTAAATCCAAGTTAGGTAAAATTTCACGGGCTTTTGTATATAATATTTGCCTATTCTCATCATTTTTTGTACAAGCTAAAAAGAAATGACATTCATCCTCTACATCTTTACAAATATTACATACTCTTTCCTCTAAAGGTTTT